GCAGATGTCGCGGGTTCGAGCTCTCACCAGGCTAAACAGATACGCGACGTTTATCATGAACATAGCGCCGGTAAGCGCCGATTGGCACCTGCAATCGCCGATCCTGGCTGGCGTCGCAGATCCTGCCCTCGACGCCTGTGCCGAAGCGGTGCGTCTCTGAATTGTTTGTCGGGGCATTACTGACCGAGTCTTGGAATCGGCTGACTTATTCCTTCTGATTCTGATGCGTCTACGTGGGCCTCTTCAGGGCCCCGGCGAACTCGCGGTTGCTACCTCGCCTCGGAGTGGGTGGGCATTCTTGCCCCCGATTGTCTGAAAGAATTGCTCCAAGGCTTATTATATATGCGTATATATCGATTACTTTCCCTCGTGAGATCGTTGCCCCAGTGGGCCGCGTAGCCCGCGTCTGGGCTCGGCAACGCGTTTCAAATCGCCACCCCTTGCAGGAGCTTTCTACTGGACCCCTTCTTGGGATCCCCCCAGGACCTTGCCGAGCACGAAAACCCAGGGATACGGGGCGACATCCAGCATCGTGCTCTGCGCGCCTTCCTGTCAGGGGGGTATTTACTGTAAGCGCCAGTGCCTGGATAAATCCCGGTCTGCCCGATCTTTCACACCCTCGCTGAATGCCATAGCTTGTCTGGTGTTCGACGTCGGTGCGGCGCGGCGCCATCCTTCAGTCAAGTAGTGGCGAAGTGTCCCGGCGTGCCTATAGTCCTACCAAACAATGTTATAAGAACCTTCTGTGGTTCCCACGAAATGTTCTAAGAACGCTTCTGGTTGGGACTGTCTTGTTTCGTCACATCGGGTGTAGTTTCTAAGAACATTGTTTTTGCTCTTAGAACATTTTGGGGTTCTAGGAACATTTTGCGGTAGGACTCTAGGAATGCCGGGACGGTCGGCCTCTGCTCAATTCAGGGGATGTTTGGAACAGCGTCGGGACAATCCTGTCTGGGCCACCGCGCTGGCCCCTGCCCCTCGCTGCTCCAATATTTCGTTGCCCCATCCATCCCCCGAGTCCGTTTGGGCCGTTGCTCGCGATGGGCATCTCTTCAGGATGGGAAAAACATACAATTAATCATCGACCCCCAAGAAAATATTGGAAAATCTGGGAATTGGGCGGAAAGACGAAGACCAAGAATATATTGGAACACATTGGGAATCCTTTTATTTGTGTGTACTTATTTGTGTCTTTGGGCCCCTTGATCTCTTCTCGTCGCCTGCGCATGGAGACGGCGCGGGAATTTGCGCCCCTTCCCTTATGGCTCTTCTTGCGGGCTGGGGGGCCGGTTCTTTTGACGGGCCGAGGGTCAATGCCTCGGCGGACGGTGCCCTTACCCTTCTGGTTCAGGACGCGCCGAGCCATATGCGCGTTATTTCTATCCGACGCATGCTGCTCCTAGTCCTCAGTGTGCGTAGATCAATGATACGCAAAGCTTGGTTGATCTGAGAAACCCCGGCGTTGAGGCCGCCGCCTGGGGCGGGCTCGCTACTGCCCCTGGCGGAGAGAGGCCCGTCGAGTCGCATCTGATATGGGACATATAGGATGCCACCTGTGTCGCTTGGCCAAGGTTCGGTCTCATGACTAGTGGGATAGGGCAGGGGCCCATGACGGGGGCAATCAGGAGGCTGCCCGTCTAGCTAAGTCAGGGGCGGCTCTCCGCTTCAAGGATCAGCTTTTGTTGGATCGCGTCGCTCGGTCGAATGTCCTAGTAGCACCTGTTGCGCAGTGCGTTGGCCACTGCGTTGGTTGGAATTCTGTTGCATGTGCCAAAGGATTTTTAGCAGGCCTTCGCTGAATCCCGAACTCGCTCGCTCGCCCCTTCGCCAGTCCTCCCGAGGCGCTCGGGAAGGCGATTTTCACTGGCACTTTTGGGGCCCCAGCATCGGGCGCAGGCGTGCGAACTGGTGGTCCAGTTCTGTTTCCAGACAGAGCTGCTTTGAGCAATTTGCACGAATCCAACCGGTGGTGGCCATGCTGCTTCGGAGGCCGCGCGGTATAATTTCCAGTGAACGCTGTGGCCGGCATAGTCAGGAAACGCCGCTGATTTGAAGAGCTTAGCCAACTTCAGTCAAGAGCCCCCAGCATTACTCCTAGGCTTAATAAGACGAAAGATGACCGGCACCCTCGGCGCGTGCATTCCCAAAACCGAACGACATTTTCTCTTTCCAGGCCTTATTTGACCCAGAATGGCTCATCGAGGGCTACTATTTGGGGCGAGTGGAGCGGGGATGGCTCCGTCGCGAGGCAGAGGCTCCATGCCTGAATGCTGCCCGCCCAATCTTACCCTGTGTTTTTACCCCTCTTGTGGCTGCGTTCGTCGCCTCTCCCTCGGGCGCGCGCCTGGCTCGCAAAGAGCGAAGAGAAATCCGAAGCTGACTGGCTGCCTTCAGTTTTGTCTGCCTGCGAAAGGAGAGACACTGAAGTCAGATCGCCCGCCCTACCCGGCTTGCCGCGCAAGGTCAGCCTCCATTGAGTGTTGAGCCGCGGCAGAACCAGACGCCCGTTTCGTTGGGCTCGTCGCTGGGCTGTCCTTCCTCGTGAATGGTGGGCAGGGGGGTCGCATAACGTTTGCGTGGGGGAGGAAGCTGACGGAACGTCTGGCAGCTTGAACTGCCGTCAGGTTTTGGGACTCCACATGTTGCCTCGTTTTGAGGAGCGGTAGCAGCGTGCTTTCACTTGCCGCTTGCTTGCGCTTGTTAGCGCTGTCCCTCCTTGGTGCCGGGTCCTGCTCCCTCCCAGGACGGTCCCCCCCGCTCGCCGCGGTCGGTCTCGCGTGGCCCTCGCGTTCGTCTTTCGGGCCCTTGTCCGGTCCCCCTCACGTTGCCGCGTGCGCCCTGGGAGGCAACGATTGACTCCAGCCCGCGGCCAAATTTATCCCCCCTCGTCCCTCCGTTCTCCTCTCCCCTCCACTTCCCTCTCCTGGCCTCCTCGCCCTCCCCCGCCCGTCTCTGTCCCATTGTTCTATTTTGTTTCCTCCTGGCCCCTTCACTCTGCTCTGGCCCCTTCACTCCGCGTTCTTGTTCGGCTGCTTACCACTTCGGCTGTTCGCCCCTTTGAAATTGCGTTCAGCCCATCTGGTCCTTAAATAATCGGATTTGTCGTCGCAGCAAATCGCTTTGTCAGGGCGGCGTCAGGTCATTTGTGACGTGTCCGTTTTCGTCGTGCTCTCTGGTTCGTCTTCGTCATCATCCCCCCAGCCGCAATATTCTAGCTCGCGTGTTCAACAAACTCATGCCCAGAATCGATGCGATCAACGTCAATACATTGTTCATATTATGTGGGCGATGATCGATGCGGAACGAGCCCCCTATCCTGGGGTCCCCCATCCTGGTGGTTCCGCCGGTGCAGACAGGTGCAACGAATACCCTTGAATGCGTGAACCCCCCAGGACAAGCCTGCAGGCACTGCCGCATCGGCCGGGCGCACCATGCTTCCGGTTATGATTTTTGTTTATTTTTTTCTGTTTTGGGGGGGTCCAGAGTCACATGTTGAGGAGATCTGGCTGCATTCCCTCCTCCTGACTGTTTCTCGGGGGTCCCAGCCGGTTGGGACTCGCCAGCCGTTTCCAAGGCATTCTTCAAGTTTCGTTCGTGTCTTCCACTTTTGGGGGCCTCTTGGCTCTTGGCCGGTTCGGGGGTTGTCTTGGTTTCAAAGAGACCGAAGGCCCATCCGTGGGATGTGTGTTGACCATGTCTTTGGCGGAATGGCATTCGCTGACATTGCAAAAGTCGCGCGGGGAAATACCGAGAGCACGCAGGAGCGCGAGCAGCCGGAATTCAGGGTCGTGGTAGTATTCTGTACAGAAGAGCCAGAAGACATTCCCGTCAGCGCCTAACGGCACAGTCTCTGATACCATTGGCGAATTTTGCTTTGGAGCACCACGTGAACCAAAATGCTCATGAGGCATTTGCGACGTGTGCAACGACCGTACATACACAATACTGCAGGCTACCATACTCTAGACTTGCATGCGACAGCCCTCGAAACAATTCGCCTCAGATCCCTTGCGGGGCCAGCCCGGCGCGTAATGATTGAGGTGCACGTTGTTGTCACATGATTTTGCACGTTGGGGAGCCTTCAAAACGGCCCAAGATGCGCCCAAGGGGGCTCCAGGACGGGCCCAGATCATCAACGGCCCTGCTGGAAGTGGTGGCTCCCAGCCACGGTCCCGAGGCCTCCAGACAAGTCACGCGCGAAGCCCTCAGATTCAGAGCGCCAAGGAGCGCCTCGACATTCTGGCCCTGGGCCCCTGAAGAGCATCTGCAGCAGTCACAGTGGGGGCCCATACCAAGAAACACCCTGCTTGCCTCCATGGTGCCCTGGGTTGCTTGGGTATTCGATGGTTTTGTGATGGAAAGCGTGACGCTCCCTCACCAACAAGTCAATGGACGTCCTGGGTCTCAGGGTTGGGGTTCTTGTGGAAGGTTTCTTGTGGTCGGGCTTCTATTGTAGTTTACACAGAGAACTCGAAAAGGACCTGAGGACACTCCACTGAATGCCTACGGCAACGCTGCGACTCTGCAATTTTGAGACAGTCACGCGGGACGGAATATCAGTCACGCAGGGGTTCCCAGAAACTCAGGGGTTCGAGGCGTTTACAGAGTGTTTCTTGCAACCCTCACCAACGGGGAGCAACATGCAGCAACATGATTTCTCCGCGAAGCGACATGCAGCGGTAACAGATCGTGCGTGGCGCAAACATTGTCTTCGTCCTTGTCCGCGCATTCGTCAGGAGCATCGCCCATGTCCTTGCGCCATCTTGCAAGTGTTTCTTTCCTCTCCCCCCCTCCCGATTCTCTCCTCCATCCAATTATCCTTGCTTCTCTGTCCTCTGTGCTTCGTCCCTCTTCCTTCTCATCCTCTTGTTGCTTGGGTTCGTCCTGCTCCTCACCGCTGCTTGCCGTTCCTCCTCCGCCCTCTCCCCCCCCCAGCTTCACTACGCCTCCGCCCATCGCGGATCTGCAGCCAAGGGCGCGGGATCCCCCCTGAGCTTGCCATGGCCGCTGCGAGCCCAGGGCGCAACGCCCACGCAGTACCTCTTGAGGGCCAGAGGAGCAGGAGCAGCAGCAGCCACGGGCTACAGGCTGAGCGTGTGGGGGGGACGGGAGCCGAACAACATGCGACCAGACAATTGGACCGATCTAAAATCTTGTTCGCACCGAGCAAACGTCTGACCGAAACAACTCTTGCTGGGACCGAACAACAATATTTGTTCGGTCCCAACAGGGTTTGTTGTTCGGTCCCGTTTTTTGTTGGGGAGGAGGGAGGGAAGCAGGTGCTGACGCCTCGAGCGTTCGCTCCCGCGGCTCGCCCAAGAAAAAAGAAGGGGCGCACGTGAAGACTGCATGCAGGCTCGAACTGGATTGCCGCCTCCTCCTCCTCCTCCCCCTCCTCTTCCTCTTCCTCCTCCTCCTCCTCCTCCTCCTCCTCCTCCTCCTCCTCCTCCTCCCCCTCCTCCTCCTCCTCCTCCTCCCCCTCCTCCTTCTCCCCCTCCTCCTCCTCCTCCTCCTCCTTCTCCTCTTCCTCCTCCTCCTCCTGCCCCCCTGCCATGACCCCCGGCGCCAGAAGGTATGGCTGCTGCTGACGGCGTTGGCGCGGCCACTTACCATCGCAGGCGCCCCTGGCGTCGAGCCTGCTCCTGCTCGCGGCTGCTCTTGGCTCCCTGTTTGCTGCCTCCTCGTGCTTTCTGGCCATGCGGCTGGTGTTGCAACGATAGCGTGGGATGTGGCGCCGCCAGCCCGCGCAGTAACCTCTATCCCCCAGCCTCGGGGATAGCGCGCACCATTCAAATTGACGCCCTGACAGTTGGACAGAGCACACAGAACGGGCCCTCGCAGGTGGGGGGGATCGCCTCACAGGGATAGAGTACTATTCGGAGATAGATGTTGCACGCTATCTTTGCAACGCCAGCGCATCTGGATCCTCCCCCTTCCTCTGGAGGATGATGGTTGATATCTGCCAGGGGGGCGCCCGTGCCCGTGCGGCTGTGAAAACTCAGCCGCTCGCAGCTCAGACCACGACGGAGACCTCGACGGTTACTCAGCAGGCACGCGCTTTGCGGTTTGGAAGCCCAGGAGAAGCGGCGCGCGGGCGGGAGCCAGGAGGGCGCGCATGTGGAGCATTGCGGAGAATGGTGAAGAGAATGAGGAGGAGGAAGAGGAAGAGGAGGTGGCGGCGGAGGCGGAGGCGGAGGAGGAGGAGGACGAGAAGGAGGAGGACGAGGAGTAGGAGGAGTAGGAGGAGGAGGAGGAGGAAGTAGGAGGAGGAAGAGGAAGAAGAGGTGGCGGCGGAGGCGGAGGCGGAGGAGGAGGAGGACGAGGACGAGGACGAGGAGGAGGAGGAGGAGGAGGAGGAGGAGTAGGAGGAGGAGGAGGAGGAGGCGGAGGAGGATGAGGAGGCGGAGGAGGATGAGGAGCCAGGAGGGCGCGCATGGGGAGCATGGCGGAGAATGGTGAAGAGAAGAGCATAAGGAGGAGGAAGAGGAGGAGGAGGTGGCGGCGGTGGCGGAGGCGGAGGCGCAGGAGGAGGAGGAGGAGGAGGAGGAGGAGGAGGAGGAAGACGAGGAGTTGTTCAACCGGCGCGGCAGCTAGCATGCGGGCACGGCTAGGCGACTCGGGCGCGAACCCGGAAGGGAGGAAGGGTTTTCGAGCACATCCCGACGGGAGTGCCAGCAGGCGCGTCCAGGGGCCTACTCGCCGTCGGAGCCATCGTCCATGACGACCAGATCTTTGACCGGGGCTTCGAGGACGAAGTCCGCGAACGGCTGTGGCCGAACCTGGCCGCTGGCCGAGAGCATCAGCGGCAGGCCAGTACGCAGGTGTTGCCCAGCCCACAGGCGCCCCGGACGGGGGCGCGTTTGTGGGGGAACGGCCCCAAGGCAAGGCTGCGCGAGCAGCTGGGCGGTCGCACTCGGTTGCGCCCCGCACTTCGCGCAGAAAAGGAAGGGGCCCACGTTCCACACAAGGTGGCCCCCTCCTGGGGCGCACACCGCGGGGAAGAAGGCGTCGCGCGCCCTCGCGACGCGGTAGCAGCGTGCGCATCGTAAGCACCTGCCGCACGGCACAGGCTCGTGGGAGCCGTCGGGCGGCGCCGTGTCCGCCGTCAGCTCGGGGATGCGCCTTCGCTGCCGCGCACGAAGAAGGAGGCCGTGCAGCGGCGCATCCTGCTGGCTCGGGCCTGCTGTCCGCGTGGCCCGAGCCAGAAACTTGGCCACGAAGGTCACGAGGCGGAAGGTGCGTTTCACGCGTTCCGTCGCCGCCTGGTCGGCAGGGTGGAGGGAAGCGCCCTCTCGAGCAACGCGGTCGGCAAAATGATTGCCCCAGCGCTTGACCATGCCTCGCTCGACGTCGCGTCTTGGCTGCGGCGAGCATGGCCTTCAACCTTGGGCACTTCCACCCCGCCCCCAAGGTCGTCCAACCGATCCCAAATGCGAAACCAGAGATCCGCTGCCTCGCACTGTACGCCCGTCGCCTCGGCGCGCCCACGCGCGAAGCTCGAGACGACCCACGCGCAGTCCGAGTGCGTCAAGTACATGAGACCACCTACAGTCAACCCGCATGGTAAGGATGGGCAACATTTTCCAACGGTACCCTTGCATCCTTGCCCCTTCGGCCCATCCTTAGCGACTTTCGCTGGCCAACCTCGTTGGAACGACGTTCACGTGGCCCTCCAAGGCCCTTGCATCCTTACCGTGCATTCTTATGACACGGGTTGACCACCAACGCCCACAGGGTTGGTGAGATTATCCACACCCTGCGTAACCTCACCGGTCCATGCTGCAGCAGTGCGCGCAGATCCCCGTGGGCAGGCCCATGAGTCAACCATACATGTTGTCACGGGTCGTTTCATGTGGAAGTTTTTGCTTGCAGCTTACCTGGGCCATTTTGGGGCCATCTCGGGGCCATCCTGGAGGCCTTTTGGATTTCTTTGGGGGGCCTCCTGGGGCCCTGTTTGGGTTATCTTGGGGGCCTTCAGGGGGCGCTCTTGGGGCGGGCCATCGTGGAGTCCATCGTTCAAAGCAAGGTGGGTATTAAATTTCGGCCCTCCGTCGGAGGCGGAACAGTTGCCTTTTGGGGCGCCCCTGGGCCGCATTGGGTCCCTCGTGGGTTCCTTTGGGGGATCTCTGGTGCCATCTTGGAGCCATCTTGAGGCCCCACGGGCCGATCGGAAGCGATAAGGCGAGACGACAACACGTATGCATTTTGATGAGTTGGAGGAGGAGGAGGAGGAGGAGGAGGAGGAGGAGGAGGAGGAGAAGCAGGGGAGGATGAGGAGGGGAGGAGGAGGAGGAGGGGGAGGTGGAGGAAGAGGAGGAGGGGGGGGAGGGAGGAGGGAGGAGGAGGGGGAGGAGGGGGAGGAAGAGGAAGAGGAGGAGGAGGAGGAGGAGGAGGAGGAGGAGGAGGACGAGGAGTTCACTTATGGTTTGGAAGCGTCTCGGCGTCTCTGAGGGGAGGGGGTCTGCAGAGGCTCCGTGGCTACTTGCAGAACCGCTGTGGGGCGGTCTGTTGGGGCCTCTTTGGACGCATGTGGTAAACGGTATGGAACTCTCTGGAGCTACCCTGTGCGATCTTGGAGAAGATAACTTTTGGGGCCTCTTTGGACGCGTATGGTAAACAGTGTGAAACTCTCTGGAGCTACCCTGTGCGATCTTGGAGACTATATTGCATTATCTTCAAAGGAGGAACTGGTACCCATACCTCTACCCTCCCCTCGTGTTCCCCTCCTTGGGCCTCCTGGTCCGTCGTCGCCACCGCTGGATTCGCCTCGAACTCCTGGTCAGAACGCACCCCAGGAGAGCTCCGGGGAGTAGCGGTATGAGTACCTTCTGGTGCCCCCATCTCAGGGTGGCATTGTCGACCACACTGGGCCATCTTGGGCGCCCTGATGCGTCGCTCCCCCCGCCCTCCAGGCCCAGCGAGAAGGGGGTAGTCAAGCTACCACCCCGAAGGACGGCCGTCTCGCCCAGCCGCGCTCCCACCACACGACTAGCACCCACCGCGGAGCTGAGCACGGGCAGGGGCCGCCATCGACAAGCACCGGGAACAGATGCAGACGCAAGCCCGGTGCGCCACGCCCGCGTAGGTGCGCCGCGCGTGCCAGGCCTCCCCCCCCCCACCTGCCGTCAAAGAACAATGCGAACGACCGCGGGTCGCCCGCGCATGATCGTATTTTGTATTTCGTCGCATTTTGTATGCTGTATTTCGTCGTATTTTCGTGTCTCGTCGTATTTCGCCGTATTTCCTGGTTCGTCTTACTTCATCGCATTTCGTATTTCGACGCATTTCGCGCAGCTGCAGGCTGCACCTCGTTCGTGTTGGTACTCCGGCAGGGGTGCTGGGCCTGCGCGCAGCAGGCGGTGTGCCGCCCCCGCCCCCCTCGTCGCTGCCGGAACCAAAAAAACACACTGCACGGTGGCCCCGTGGGGCCCGCGGAGGCTCCGGCTCTTGCCGCAGAGATCGGTGCTCAAGAAGCGGGGGTACATGCAAACGGGGGTCGGCCAGAGCGCCGGAGCTTGCAGGATCCTGCAGCTCCATCTGCAGGGTCGCATTGTCCCGGGTTTGGGTGCAGGAATCCTGCAGGGTCCTGCAAGATCTTTCGCATTGACCCGGGTTTGGGCGCAGGATCTTGCAGGATTTTGCGCGGCCTGACTCTCACCCTGGTCTGGATTGACCCGGGTCAGTAGACCCCCGAGCAGTGAGCATGCTGTATGCATGATGCTCCAACCCTCTTTAGCCTTGATCACCAGACAGAAGTTCGAGCACCAAGAGAGCACCGAAACTGGAGGGTTTCCACGCGTCGGGCCCTGCGAGGCGATACTCGTTCGACACTGTTTCGATGATGTTCTGGGTGCTCGAAATTATTTCTGCGATGTGATCCTTAAGTGTGATGGGGGCAACATGATGCTGGATTGCCTTTGGACAGGGATGGCGGGTGGGGGGTCAAGGTTCCGTGTTCGCCCCCGAGAGGGGCGGGATGGGGCGTATGCCCATACGCGGATGATTTTCTCTCCCCGAAGGGGGAGAGCACGGTGGGAACGCTTGCTTCCTTGAACCACCTCCGCTCAGAGGGCTGGTGGGATTAGGATGATGAGGCGGGCGGGTGGTCACGAGGAGATCAGAGAGACGAGGAAACGAAGCAGGAGGAGGAGGAGCAGAAGGAGGAGGAGTGGGAGGAGGAATAGCAGGGAGGAGGAGGAGGAGGAGGAGGAGGAGGCGGAGGCGGAGGAGGAGGAGGAGGAGGCGGAGGGGGACAAGCTAGGTGCGCTCGCGTCATGTCTGACGTCCTACCCCTCCCTCGCATCCCTTACCATGGCGTAGATCTCCTCTCTATTCGCACCGTCGGATGTTGTAGCAGGGTATAGCATTACATGGCATAGCATGGTGTTGAAGATCAACGCGTAGCCTAACGCCCCAAAGTGAGGGGGCTTCTGCGGCCCAACAAATCAACGAGTCGGCACCGAATGTGTAATCGCTTCCGATGTTTGTTTCGGGGTCCCATGTTCTACTTTTGGGGTCCTACTTGGAAGGACCGAAAACCATGCCGTGGCATGGAGCTGGAAATGATGACGCCAGCGCTGCAGCGGGAGTACGAGTCGGAACAAGCGGAAGCGCGGAAATAAGGCCAGTGCAGTGGGAGCACTATTCGGAATGAGCAGAAGCGCGGAAATTAAGCCAGCGCTGCAGCGGGAGCACGATTCGGAACGAGCGGAGGCCCCGAACATGAGGCCAGCGCTTCAGCGAGAGCAGCATGTTGAAAAACACTAGCGAAAACCCAAGTCGCCGACATCCTGTCTGGACAAAAACAATACGCGAGGGGGGGGGGCGAACACTCCGAGACAGATTCCACCACCGACTCAGGGGAGAGAGGAGAGTAGTATTCAGATTGAGCAACCGTGGAGGAGCAGGAGGAGGAGGAGGAGGAGGAAGGAGAAGGAGGAGGAGAAGGAGGAGGAGGAGGAGGACGGATGAGGAGGAGGAGGAGGAGGAGGAGGAGGGAGGAGGAGGAGGAGGAGGAGAGGAGGAGGAGGAGGGGGGGGGGTGGAGGAGAGGGAGGAGGAGGAGGAGGAGGAGGGGAGGGAGGAGGAAGGAGGAGGAGGAGGAGGAGGATGGGGAATCGGCCTCCTTGGTGACCCCTGTGCGCTCTGGCCGCCGCCCGCCAGCCTGGCGTGCGTCTGCGCACGCTCGTGTGCGCCTGCACGGCGTCCGGCCTCCTCCTCCTCCTCCTCGTCTCCCTCCTCATCCTCCTTCTCCTCGTTCCTCCCCTCGTCCTCCCCCCTCCTCCCTCTCCCACCCGTCTCCTCTCTCTCGATCTCTTCCTCCTCGCCATGGCCACCTTTCCCCCTCCCTCCCATCCCTCCCCCCATCCGCCCTGTTCTCCATCGTCGCCCGCTCTGGCTCGTTCCCCTAACTCCTGTGGGATCCGTCCTGACAAAGTTTCCGGCTCGCTTCAGCCATGGCTAAGAGATCATACGCCGAGATGTGTCAGTAGGGCGGGCCGGGCCAGACGTTGCGTCTGAGTTTTCGTCACCGTGAATGACCTTTATGCTTCAAGTTTGCAAACGCTTCACGGATGGTGGGCGGGCCGCTTTCAAAGTGAGGTTCTCGCCTTCGCGCCGCGCACATTCGATGTAATCATGTGCAAGTGTTTCGCGGATTGAGGGCAGGTTGTTTTCAAAATGTGGTTCTCGCTTCAGCGCCTCGCACACTCGTCTAAACATTTGTAAGGACATTCACGGGTGAGGTGCGGGCCTCTTTCAAAATGAGGTTCTCGCATCAGCGCCGCGCACATTCGTGTCAATCATTTGCAAGAATTTTACGAATGGACGGCGGCTCTTGTTCAACATGTAGCTCTCGCCTTAGGTCCGCGCACATGCGTTATTTGTTGTTGCAAGAGATTCACCTATCAAGGACGCTTTCTTTTTCAAAATGCGGCTCTCGCCTCATCGCCGCGCACACTCGTCTTACATTTTCAAGGAGTTTCAAGGATTATCATGGCTAACGTCCCTGATCTGATGTTTTGGAGTGTTGTAGGACTGTCAGGGCGCAACGGTTTCGTTGATTCTCGGTGGTGAAGTCCCAGGCGCTGTGTTCTTGCACGACTCAGGATGGTCAAGACGCAACAATGAGTTCTTCGTGGCGTTGAAGTCCCAAGAATGGTGCTTTCACGCAGTTTAGGATTTTCAGACGGATGTCTTCCAACGGGGCGTTTCTTCAGTGGGACTGAACCCTTGTAGGGCCTCATGTGACGAGTGACTTGGGCTTGCACTGGTCCATCTCTTACTGCTCCTCCTCTCTGCACAGCCTTACTCGCTGCTGCCGCCGGACGAGAGCTGCGCGTCCTACGTGCTCGACGACGTGCTCAGTGAGGAGACGGGCAGAGCCGGTCTTCGAGGAGGGAGGATCGAGGACCGAGGAGGAGAGGACCGAGGTTCGAGGAGGGGGGATCGAGAACCGAGGATCGAGACTTCCTCATGCGTCTAGCCCCTTCTTATCCTCCTGGGGCCTCTGGGCGCCTCAAGACGCCTTTTTTGTGACCCTGGGAAGCATCCAGAGACATCCAGGGGCCTCCATCCTCTGGCGACCTTGTGGAGGACTGGAGAGGAACAAGGGGAAATGATGATTTGTTGGTGGTCTGGTGTGCTCGAGTTTCGTTCTCTCCATTATCGCCCTTCTTCCCTCGTCACCCCTGTCACTTCGTCCTTCTTCTGCTTGTTCTCTTCACCCGTCTCCTCCACCTTCTTCATGCCATTTGTCATAGTATGAGCCTGCTGGCATCATCCATGCACATGTCAAACTCCTCTTGGGAGCACGTAGCCTCCAAACTTTGCTGTGTCTAAGGTCTGCCGAAGGTATGGTTTGGTGCCCCTCCTCTCTTCCTGTGCCACGAGCGCATGCAGGCGTGACGCCGCGTATATTTGATCGGCTTCGCTTGCAGGCGAAGCGCTGTGAGTTGGCCATTTTGATATCGTTCGAGACCGCTGGGTCTGATCATGCGCTTATGCTTGATCGGCTTGAGATTTGAGCCATAAGCCACAGAGCACGCTCAACTCTGGGGAGGACGCCAATGCATTGAGCCTCTCACCAGTGTGTCTTCATATGTGTCTCGGGGGTGGACAGATACCCCACCCTGACACGTTGATTAGTGAATGGTCCGTCTTCGGTTCTCGAGAGGGCGCTGCGGCCGTCATCTTGCAGGCTTGCGCACGCCAGGTTTGGGCCCGAGGTCGTTTTCACTAAGCCACGTTTTACTAAGGCGGCCTCTGTCCATCCCCGAGTGTCTTTCCTCGTGCCTGCACGAGCTGCTATGCACACGTTGCCCTTACCTATAGTCCATGATGCTGTCTTCGACCGTGCGCCGCTCCTGAACCCCTCACCAGCGCTCTCACCCATTGTGCTTGATTCTGAGCCTCTCTGGAAGGCTGAATGCTTCGGAGTTGCTCGGAGCCATAACCGAGTTGGCCTTGGCGACAAGATTACGTTGGGGGAGTCCATCTTGGCAGGAATGAGTTTTTATGGATGTGTCTACAACAGCGCAGCGGATTATGTGATGTTCAACACTCAGGGAGGAACTCCAGGCTTCACAGCGTCTACGATACAATATATCTGCCCTGGCGTGGCAACCACAACCACTACTTCGGCAACTTCGTCAACCACGGTATCTACCGAAACTGAGTCATCCTCGACGGTGTCAACCCAGACTCTCACAACTACAACGACCACTACCACTACGGTCACGACGAGCACTTCCTCGGGGAAGAAGAAACGACATAGACATAAACTTTCGGGGGCCCTCGGCGTATTTCCTGGATCTGCTCTGGACCCTCCTCCCTGGCGCGCGGAGCGCGCCAGGGGCGGAGCGCGCCAGGGGCGGCGCCGGAGTCGCCGCCAGGGGAGGCTTGCGCAGATCCAGGAATTCCGCGGAGGACCGCCGAAAGTGTATGTTTGTGTCGTTGTTCCGTCCTCGACTTCCACCACCAGCACTTCAACCACAACGAGCTCGACCACCAGCTCGACGACCCGCACCTCGTCAACGTCAACAACCTCCACCACCACAAGGCCAGGGGACAGCACAAGTCTGCTCTGCGAGCGGGCCCCCCTGCCCATCCTCTAGAACCCCCTCCAAACATATGCAATGCTGGATTCCTCCGTTTGGGTGCGTTTACTAAACGGCCTAGCTTGTCGAGGTGAGTCTCCTGAGGATGGTCTTTCTGCCCCCTGCGAGAGGACCACGTCGACCTCCACGACATCGACCACTACCACTGGCACCTCGACAACCGCAACCTCGTCGACCAGCCTCACAAGCACGACAGTGTCCTCCTCGACCTGGAGAGTCTGGGGGGCAGAAGGCTTCGGCCGGGGACGCCAGAGTAGGAACCGTGAGCAGCGAGGACCGGTACCTTTGCCATGGGATCGAAGGGCCGCCTGCCCGACGTCGGCCATTGGCGGTGTCGGACAACATTTGTTGCTGGGCATCGTATCCATCATTTACATACCCATTCGGGCCGGACGAAAGGGGGGGATTGGGAAAGGGGGGGTTACGAAATCTGCTGCGTGCAGCTGGTTTCGGCCCCGCCGCCGGGCCCATTCCTCGATACATGGGCGCCTCTGGCGCCGGGAGGCGCCAGAAAAATCAGCTACGTGAGCCGATTCTCAAACCCCCCCTTTGCTATCCCCCCCTTCCGCCCGACCCGACCCATGCCTGGCGTCCACAGTGCAGAGACGAACGGCGGGATCGTTTTTTGTCGTTCCAAGTTTTTCGACGGCCCCGGGTCAGCCCATCGGCCCATCGGCGGCCTCTGGGCGCCGCAGCTCGAGGGCAGAGCAGGCTCCACGTGTCCAGTCCCAAGACTTCGGGAGGAGGGGGGGGGAGGCGAAGGAGGAGGACGACGAGCACAAACCCAAGGCGTGTCAACGATGTTGAAGGAAGCCCTCCTTCCAGGGGCCCTCTTCACAGGTCCCTGCAAGAGTTTATCGTCACTGCGGGACGTGCCCCGTTGGAAGACAACCGTCTGAGAGTTTTCAACCGCGCACACATATGCAATTTCTGAGATTTCAACGCCACGAATCAACCTGACTGCCGCGTCATGACGATCCTCGATCGTGCCAGAAGACCATTCCTGGAACTCCGGCACCGCGAATCACCGTGACTGTTGCGCTCTGACAATCCTAAACCGTGGTGGAGTGCCAGAAGACTCCCTGAAACCGTTGCAAACCTTGTGTATCTACTATGCGCGGCTCTAGAGCGAGAGCCGCATTTGAAAGGGAACCTCCCTAAATCCGTGAAGCCCGTGCAATTCGTTAACACGAATGTGCGCGGCGTTTTGGCGAGAGTTACAGTTTTGAAAGGGAGCCCTGCGGCGCAAAGGCGAGAGACACATTTTGAAGGGGAACACCCTCCATCCGTGAAGCTCTCGCGAACTCTGGAGACGAGTGTGCGCGGCGCTGAGGCAAGAGCCACAGTTTGAGACACCTTTGGCGTCAGCCGTGAAGCTCTCTGTAAACTTGTGAGACGAGCGTGCGCGGCGCTGAGGCGAGGCCCACAGTTTGAAAACCACCTGCCCCCGATCTGTGCAGCTCCTGCTCATGCTTGAAGCGAACGTGCGCGCGCCGCGGCGGGACCCGCATTTTGCAGACGGCCGCCCCCCAGCCGTGAAGCCCCCTTCAACTTGTCAACTTCAGAGCCAGAAGGCGGCGAGGACGTCTCGGTCGAAACGCCGTCTGGCCCTACCGACACGCCTCGGGGTACGACAGGGAGGAGGAGGAGGAGGAGGAGGAGGAGGCGGAGGAGGAGGAGGAGGAGGAGGAGGAGGAGGAGGGGGAGGAGGAGGAGGGGGAGGAAAAGGAGGGGGAGGGGGAGGGGGAGGAGGAGGAAGAGGAGGAGGAGGAGGAGGAGGAGGAGGAGGAGGAGGAGGAGGCGAGACCTTTCCAGGCTGCAGGTGAAACCCAGACAGACGGCCCAAGACGGACGCATGGCCTACGTAGTTCCCACAGGGATGGTGCCAGCGCCGGAGGCGGAGAACGGGAAGGAGACGGCAGGCGAGTCAGAAAGGGAAAAGGAGGAGGAAAGGATGAGGAGGAGCAGGAGGAGGAGGATCGAGGATCAAGGATCAATCTTGTTGACGTTCGATCTCTCCGTTTCGGTCTCGAGGCCTCCAGAGGATGACCGAGCCTCAGGAGGGCGCGTGTTCCCCGCCTCCCGCCGCGGGGGGCCTGGTCTCCACCTGAGGAGCCAGACCCCCCGACCGCGAACTCGATGCAGTCGAGCTCACACGTGGACGGACTTGTCAATGCCGTCCATGTCCGCGGGAGGGGGAAGGGGCGAGGGCCCTGCACGCGAAGCGGCGAGGCCGCCTACCACCCCCCCCCGCTGCTCCTCCCGCGGCCGGCCGCCCCGGGCCTTGGACCATCACCACGTGGACCACCACGCGCTCGACGGCCACCAGCCGCTCCGGAGCCCCCGCCACGCGTGCCGTCGGACGAGGCCGCCAACTCCTCGAGCTCGACGGCCATTGCGACCAGCACGCCGTGGTCGAAGGGGGCCGTCTCGGGAGCGGGAGGCAGCCCAGCGCGCTCCCGCAGGCGGACGACGAGGTTCCTCAGCTGCCACACCTCGAGGTGGCCAAGCTTGCCCTTGCCGCCGCTCTCGCCGCCCTTGCCCGCGTTCTTGCCCTTGCCCTCGCGCTGGTCTGTGCTGGCAGGCGGGCCACGAGCCTGCATCACCACGGGCAGCTCGTCGGCCCAAGCGTCGTCCTCCAGCATCGGCTGAGGCGGGGCGCCAGCCCCCGTGGCCACCTCGCCCGCCGACCCCTTGTCGATGTCCATGCCGTCAGCGACGATGTAGTGCTTGCCGTTCTCGTCCCCGCCCTTCGAGCCGCCGCGGCCGCGGGGCCGCCGCCTCCTGCGCGAGGAAGCCGCTGGATCCGCCAGGGGCGCCGCGACGAGCGCGGGGGAGGAGGGCGTGGCGAGCACAGCCACCGCCGTGCGCAGCAGGCCTTCGGCGGCGCGGATGAGGCGTACCGCCTCCCGCTGGCCGCTCGCAAGCCCAGCCGCCGCGTGCGTCGCCAGCACTGCGCCGCGCGCAGCGTCCAGCGTCGCCTTCGCGGAGCGGGCGTCGGTCGTCGGCGGCATCGGCGAGGCGGCGGGTCGGCGGGGCGACCCAGCGGCGGCGGCGCGTGAGCCAAAGTGCCAACTGAGGCCTCCAGAGGAGGACGAGCGGTAGCTGGCAGGCGACCGAGAAAGGAAAGATTGGCTGGCACGCGACGTCGCAGGTTAGGAATCGGTGCAGTCTGAGGAACGGCGCATTCGAATGGGACAGGCCAGGACAGGACGGGACAGCCAAATGCGGTGAGCGAAGGACGGGGTGGAGGATGGGGTTGGAAGGGTCAACTTGCCCGAACACCTTGGTCCTCTTCTTCCTCCCTCCTCCTCTTCCTCCTCCTCCTTTTTCTCCCTTGGACCGCTGTGGCCTTGGCCGACGGCCTTGGCCGCCAGAACCGCCATGGACTCCTCCTGTGGGTAAGAGAGGAGCAGGAGGAGGAGGAGGAGGAAGAGGAGGACGGCCCCTCCCCCCCCCTCTTTGTTCCCTTTTTGGGCCTTCTGGGAGGTCATCGTCGCCGCCGCTGGATTCGCCTCCAAATCCTGGTCAGAACGCACCCCAGGACAGGTCCGGGGAGTACCGGTGTCGGTGCCTTTTGGTTTCGCCGGTGGGGCTCCACGCGCATGGGGTCCCACGCGCAGGGTCCCGCACCCGCGCGTGGCTCCACACGTGTAGGGTTTCACACGCCGCAGTGGGCCTCCAGGCATGGAGTGGCACACGCACATGTGAGGCTTCTAGACGCGATGCTCCACGAATCGTTTGTTTGCGGTGAACGCGCTGGCATCTTTTCCCTCATCTTCTCTTTTAGTTTGCGAGACCTCCGTTGGCGCGAACCATGTCGAAGCGTCCAAAAGTTTGAATAAGCGTCTTCTGAGCACGCTGGGAGGAAGCCATGTGGGGTGTTCGACCCCCTCCCGTCAAAAGTCGGCGGAGGGTGGGGGGAGAGTTGGGAAACTCTCCTCCCCCTTTCCCGCGTCACTGTCGGGCAAGGGGGGGGCGTTCAGCCTCCCTCCACCCCCTGGGCGCTGGCGACCCCCCCCTGGCGCCGGCAAATGACGACGAGGATCGGAGATTCATGGGGACGCTTACGACGACGATGAGTCCCGTCTGCCTGCCCTGCCGACTCGCCAACACCCGCCCACGACGTCGACGAAACGCCCCGCCCGCCCGTCCGACTGGACGAAGTCGCCCACGACGACGACGGCGACGCCGACGACGACGACGACGGCGACGACGACATGACGACGACGACGGCGACGGCGACGGCGACGACGACGACGATACGACGACAACGACGGCGACGGCGGCGGCGACGGCGAGGGCGAGGGCGACGACGAGGACCAGGACGACCACGACGACGACGAGGACGACAACGTGTCCCGCCCGCCCGCCTTACTGCCCATGACGACGGCGACGCCCGACCGACCGACCGACCGACCGGCCGCCTGACGGCGACGACGACGACGACGACGACGACGACCTGTCCCGCCAACCCGACCGACCGGCCCGTCGACACAGGACGACGACGATGTGTCCCGCCCGCCCGCCCGACCGACGCTCGGCGCCATGCCCAGCGCCACGCAGGCGCCAGGCAGACGACGACGACGACGACGGCGACGACGACGGCGGCGACGACGACGACGACGACGACGACGACGTACTCGGCGACGACGACTTCGAAGACGTTTTCCCGCTGCCCGCCCAACCGACGACGACGACGAGAACGACGACGACGACGCGGCGGGGGTTGGGGTGGGGTTCGAACCTCCCCCCGAAATTCGGAAGGGTTGTTACGCCCTCCTCGCGGAATTTCGGCAGGATGGGCGGGGTTTGGGAGGGGGGAGGTTCTCGCCTGGGAGGAAGAGGGAGGGGTTCCAGAGAGGAAGGGGGGATTTTCAAGTGGGTGGTGACGACTCCAGGGCGGGGGAGGCTTGTATCTCGCACCAGTGAGGCGCACACAACAGACGCTCTCTCAAAAGTTCAATATGCGATCTGCTTCTGCTCCAAGGACGTCTAGCTCGGTTTCAGTGTCGAGCACGACGACGGTCAGTTCGACCCTCACGTCCGTCAGCCTCACTTCGACCACCGCAAGCTCGAGCTCCAGCACCACTTCGGGCTCCAGCACAACGGTCCTCGATGCTTGGCGCGGGTGGAAGGGGGAGGAGGAGGAGCATCCGAAGGGGATGAGAAAGGCTCCAGGTTTTTTTGATCGTGAAAGGGAGGGGGTTCGATTCTTTGTGGGGGTCTGGCTTGAGCTGTCATGGAGGTTTCCAGCGGTCTGAGCAAAAGGCCGCTCTTTCATGGCTGGTTTGAGGGGGTCGGGAATTGCTCGTCTTGGAGGGCTGTGACCCCTTCCGTTTCATCACGAAGTGTGAAGTGCCCATCGGTCGCTGAAAGCAGGTCCGCCTGAACTCCCAGATGCCAACATATCTCAGACGCCCGTCTACTTCAGTAACCGAGCTGTCCACGTTCTTCCCGCTTTCGTCCTCTCCAAGGGGCGGGCCACAGCCCAATCTGCTTCAATCACCTTCCTGCATCCTGTTTCTACCCTCGTCTCCCGACCGACGAGTGACCCAGACAATCGAAGGCCAAACATCGTCACAAGCATAAGTTGTTAGAGATCCGCGCGGATGTCTGAGATCCGTGTCGGGCCCTTGTCGGCGCCGCCGCCCTGGCGGGCTCCGCGCGCCAGGGAGAGGGGGGCACAGCGCCGATCCAAGCAATCCGCGCGGACCTCCGACCGCTGTCCGTTCCAGGGGTGCCGTCCCTGCTGGGGTTCCTTCCGTGGCCTGATGCTCCTCCTCGCCTCCTCCTCCTCCTCCTTCCCCTCCTCCTCCTCCTCCTCCTCCTCCTCCTCCTCCTCCTCCTCCTCCTCCTCCTTCCCCTCCTCCTCCTCCTCCTCCTCCTCCTCCTCCTCCTCCTCCGTGCCTCCCAGGGGGCCCTCGTGTCCTTCGCCGGATGCGGTCGGGAAGCCCTGCCAGGGTTGTCCCTGGGAGGGAGGCGCCTTGGATGGCAAGTGGTGATGAAAGTGTGCCTAACTATTTGGCAATCCGCTCTGAGGCATGCGCGCCAATCAGGAAAGCACGAAGGGGTTCGATCGGGACTTGTTTCGGTCGGACTTCATTTGTCGAGGGGGGAGCCCTATGCGTGCAGGTCTCTACGACCAGTGAGACCAGTAGCACGACGATGAGCACCACGACGTGGAGCTCCACGACGCAGAGCTCAACGTCGCTGTCCACGGTGAGTGAGACAAGCACCTCGACCGCGACAAGCTCATCAGGCTCCAGCAGCACCACGGTCGCAGCCTCTCATGGGGGGTTTGTCGGCAAGGGGATGCCGCGAGGCTGGGGATGGAGAGGGTCCATTTATCAGTTGGAATGTGAGCGCTGGGTGCGTATTCCTTGCGGGGGAAGAAGCTTGCGCATTCCCTCCCGAGGCGAATCGGACGGATGACTTGCAATCTTCCGCGATGCTATTTCGGCCGCGTACCCTTGGATCCCTCAGGAAGCCAGTCCGTGTCCAATGCCCTCATGATTTGAGGAGTGCGGCTGATCAAGTACCCCAGGAATAGACCCTGGCGTGCCGCGCATAGTTTGTCACGGTCTTGTAGAATGCGTGCAGCGCCCTTTTGTTTTTGTTCAAAGTTGGACGCCCAAGGGTCCTTGCATCCTCCTCCCCCGAAGAGGAGGAGGAGGAGGGGGAGGAGGGGGATGATGAGGAGGAGGAGCAGGAGGAGGAGGAGGAGGAAGAGGAGGAAGAGGAGAAGGAGGAGGGGGGGAGCCTCCTCCACCTCCGCCTCCTCCTTGTCTTGCGACCGCTCGTCGTGCGTCGACTGCAGCCGGGCAGTGCTCTCGACAGCCTCCGCGGGCCCAGACCCCCCCCCCTCTGCGGCTGCTGCTTGCGAAGCTAGGGCCCATCACTGATGGGCCTGTTTTCCACCACCACCCCAATTTGGAGGGGGAGGGGGTCCTCCTCCTCCTCCTCCTCCTCCTCCTCCTCCTCCTCTTCCTCTTCCTCCTCCTCCTCGTCCTCAACCTCCTTCCCCCCTCCAACTTGGTGGTGGTGGTGATGGTGCAAAATGCAAAAGAGGCTTATGAATCACGGGGAGCGCTCGACGAGGAAAGTACGTCACTAGACCAGGTCAGAGCGCCTGGGTTGCACACCAATCAGAGCCCGCGTTGATTCCTTGTCTTCTGAGAAGGCAGTGGGGGGCCCTCTCAGAAGATCTCCCGCCCTGCGGCTCTCGCGGCTGCCCCCCGGGGTGATTCCTGCCCGCAGGAGGTGGGGGGGGGCGGCGGGCGATGCGCGCGCAGCGGGGGGTCAACCCTTACGGGACTCAGCCGGGCTCCTCGGGTCCCCTCTGGCTGACCTGGGTTTCGGAGCCACGTGGAGCCGTTCCTCCTTCCCAGACGTGCGATGTCCCGATTTGTTTTCAGCACGGGCCCCCCGGAAGTCCCAGGCGGTTCCCCGGGACCGGTGTGTCATTCTGTTTCTTTTGTTGACCGCCCCGATGCCCGGCAATGGCCCTCAGAGGCCGAACGTAACGACACAGATCTAGTCGTGTGTTTGGTCATGGCTCGAGGGGGTCTGGGTCCGCTGGCCCAGATGGGGGGGGCTTCTGCGAGGCAGGCCCGGGTTCGCGACGTGGCCCCGGCCGGCCCAGGTGAGCGGTGAGCCGGGCCAGCCCGTCTTCGAGGGGCGGGGGAAGCGGACTCTGGAGACCCAAAGACGTGGCACGGGCAAAAGGTGGTGGAAGAGGAGGAGGAGGATGAGGAAGAGGATGAAGAGGCGGCGGAGGAGGAGGAGGAGAATGATGTTGCTGCGGCGCCTGCCAGGTGGCCTGCCTGTGCCTCTGCGTCAGGTCGGTTTGGATCTGCACATTTGTCTCACGAGCGCAACAGCTACATAACTAATGTTGGCCTAACGTAAAAAGGAAAGAGAGGAGAAGACGGAAAAGGATACAAGGGCACTCCCTGATGAGGGTCAGGGTCTGGAAGCGAAGCTCGGCCGCGAGGCCGACGAAGTTGGAGTAACCCAGCTCCTGCAGCTCCCAAGGCTCCGAGTCGCGACCGATGCGGTGTCGTGGAAAGAAGAAGCCCCATGGTTGGCCAGGCTTATGCGTTTCACCAAACATGCGCTTTCGATTTCTAAAGTCTATGGCCCCGACGGTTTCCCGATCGCTCTAGGGTCGTCAATTATTTTCTGCACCAGGTGCGTGGCCTATGCGTGAGGGGCGTTGAAAACCCGTGCCGACCTTGCCTGCCTTCGTCTCTCACTGTGGCTTTCCGACGCCAGCGCGAGAGAGCATTGGAGGGCCGTTTTCCCAGGGAGGGCCCCGCAGTACAAGAAGGTTACGTCTCTGGACCCTCGCGCAAGCCCCCGATGCATGACTTCGCACGTGCTGGTTGTCTTGGTTCGCGAGGAGACTCGCCCGCTAATCCTGCTGGGCCAGAGATTGAGGGGGTCGGGGCGGTGCCTCGGGTCTGGGGAGAAGATGGACGGCTCAGAGGGTGCGTGCTCGTTTCGGTGTCACTCCTGCTTTTCCGAATTCGTTTACCGACCGCCTCGAGAAGGCGGCAAAAGCCTAGAGAGAGGCTCGCAAAAGGTTCCAACGAGGTCCAGTTCAGGATCCCGCGGAGTTTTGGTCCGAGCTCGAGTTCGAGCCGTGGAGACCGCGCCTCGCGGCGAGGCTGAGCAGGCCATACCCTGGTTGATCGCTGCGGGAGGCCACGGCCCGCTGCCGCTTGCCGCCTGCTCACCGAGCGTGGCCGGCCTGGGAAGTGAGAGAGTGGGGATGCAGGGGCGTAGGGGGTGCAAGGCGTGGACGCGCCAGCAAGGCCCCCGCCAGCGCTACGCGGGCGAGTGGAGGCACGGCTCAACCCTTATCAGGCCCGCCTGGCTTATTTCCTTGAGGAGGAGACCCACGCCCCTGGCGCTTCGAAGGCGCCCACAGGCTTCAATCACTTTGTATGCTCGAATGTCGTTCCTGGGCCCTGGGGCCGTCACAACAATGATTAGATACAGAGGAAATGACCTTGGTCAAGGTGGTGAAACAGACCAGACGTTGACGGCGCGCCAAGAGCGGTTGGACAACAGGAGACCTTGGAGATGGCAGGGGGTTTTCTTTGGAGGGCCTCCCGCTTTCTGGCGCGCCTTCTCAGATGCCTCCAAGCCTCTCTGAAGAGCACCTCCTTTCTCATACGTCCACATCTCCTCTCTTCGCCGACAGATCACTTTGGCGCAAGAGCGCGTCACGCCAAACGTCACACCGAAGTTCGCAGACATCTCGTGGCGATGCACATCGTGATGGCAATGACGAAAATGCTGACGATATGTTGATGCCGGCGATGTCAGTGGTGATCATGATGACGATGTTGGTGATGATGGCGAGCTGACCGTGGTAATGATGATGATGATGCTGCTGATGCTGATGATGATGATGATGGTTGTGATGGTCGTGACGGTGGCGATGATGATGTTGATGATGATGTTGCTGATGATGATGGTGATAATGATGATGGTGATGCTCTTGCTGTTGCTGGCGACGGCGATGGTGATGATGATGGTTCTTGATGAGGCTGATGAGGCTGTTTCTGGTGATGGCGGTGACGATGATGATGCTGATGATGACGAAAAGGGGGAGGAGGAAGATAAACAGGATGACGCTGATTCTAGTAGTGCTGGTGATGATGGTGTTGATGGTGAGTTGGTATAATGGTGGTGACGGAGGTGATGATGATGGTGATGATGATGGTACTGTTGCTGATGCTGGCAGTGGTGAGTAGGATGCTAAGGATGCTGATGATGTGGCTGATAATGATGGAGGAGGGGGGGGAGGGAGATAATAAATGGGGCCGCCTTGGAGCTCTGGAGCTCGGCGATTGGAGCCCGCTTCTTCCCCTCGCCCTCACCATCCTCCTTCTACCCTTCTCCCTCCCCCTCCTCTTCGAACCCCATCTCACTCTCTGTCCCTCCCCCTGTTCCCCCATTCTCCTCCCCCTCCTTCCCCTTCCCTTCCCCCCCTTCCCTCCTCCCTCCCTTCCCGGATTCCCCTGGTTAACCTTACAACGCCCCGGGCGTTTTGTTGTTTATCTGTTGTGTCTTTGGGCTTTGGACAGGCTAGAAACGCAAAGCAAACGCGACGTTCCTTTGGCGCGTTTTGAAGGTAGTTGTTCTGGCGTGTTTCGGGCTTTCGGTGTGGATCATGTTGTTTATCATTGTTTGTTTTTGTTCGAGGGTTGCTCATTGGCTTCCCCGTCGTTTTCTCCCGTTTTTGCTGCCTCCCGTTTCTCCCGCTCCGCGCGCAGAGCAAAAACATGCGAACGCCCTGACGCCAGTCTAACACCGGCGCGATACAGGCCCACAGGCCCCGCGGCAAGGCCGCAGAGACGGCTGGAGAAGAGCAAGAGGAAAACATTACAGTACAAAAGGGATTACTAGACGCAAGGATACCAAACTGAGGACGTCGTGGACGGCAGCGTTAAGCCACGCAGTCAATTGATCTGAAAACTCCGTGAACTTTTTGTTTTGTTGATGGGACCGAAAGCGCCAAAACAACTGATTTTGAAAACGCCGAGCTTGAGACGCTAAAAATTGCCCAGGGCATATCTAGGACGAGCGAGATTCCCCACCCCCCCCCCTCCCGCTCCTCCCCTGCCCCTTCCTCCCCCCCTCCTCGGAGCGGTGGTGGTGGAAGAAGGGCGGCGGACGGAGTGGACGTCGGATGCAGGATGGAGCTGGGAGGAGGGGGAGGACTACTTGGAGGGGGGAGGGGCGGCCAGGGGACGGGATGAAGAGGGAGGGGGCGCGCGGAGAGTGGAAGGAGGCGTCGGGGAAATATCCAGTTGACAAGCAGCAGCGAGACGAGCACCTCGACGGCCACCACCTCGACCGAGTCGAGCAGCACATCGCTGTCGACTTCGACGATGACGAGCACCTCGAGTGCAACGTCGAGCAGCGCGACGAGCAGCACGAGCATTACTGCTACCTCGCCCACCATGACCCACACGAGCACGGATATCGCGGGTCCACTGAAAGGTTTCAGAAGTTGGCGGCGAGCACGGGGGGGAAGTATGAAGGAGCAGGCCATCTCAGAAGGTGGGGGGGATTTCTCAGAAGCCCTCGCGCCTTCTGAGAAGTTTTTTGTGCCGTCGGGGGAGGCTTGGAAAACTTATCACAAGGCCCGGGGACTGCCGAGCATTCTGAAAAGGCTCGTCCCCTCCGCCGCAAAAGAAACGCAGACACCCTGCACTGGATTGCTCCGGGGCCTCAGGGGAGGGTGGCGGTGTATACATCACCACTGGGAGCCAGCGACTTTGCACACCATCCCCTCCTTGCAAGTACATGCAAAGTTCGTCGGAGGGCGTCTGTGTACGGTAGGTCCACGTCGTGTCGACCTGCGGCGACCCCGCCGCCGGCGTTCAATGTTGAACGCCGGCAGCGACCGGGAATCGACCGATGTTGAACGACCGGACGTTGCGGGAACGACCGATCGTTTAGAGTTGAACGATGATCTAACGTTGGGGTCTACACGACACGGACCTGTCGTAGATTAATGATGCTCCAACCTACTTTAGTTAGCCTTGACCACCAGAAAGAATTTCGAACAACCAGAAAGTACCGACACTTGAGGGTTTTCACGTGTCGGGCCCTGGGAGGCGACACTCGTTCGATACCGTTTCGATGCTTTCCTGGGTGCTCGAAATTAGTTCTGGGATGTGGTCCCTCAGTACGATAGGAGCAAGAGGATCGTACATATCTGTGTGTATATCTACTCTGGATTCCATAATAAAGTAGGGTGGGTCACATTTGGCGGGGGGGTCTGATTTGAGCTGTCTTGAAGGGTTCGGGGGGGTCTGGGCAAAGTGCCGCCCTTTCATGGATGGTCTGGGGGGGTTTAAAACTTCTGGTCTGGGAGGGTTGTGACCCCCTCCCTTTTATTACGAAATCTAGAGTATACAATATATATATATATATATAATATATATATATTTATATTATATATTATATATATATAAAAATAAATGAAATTCAGGTACAGATTCGTGGCGCACCTTCTCACTTTCCCCCCCGCGGGCTCGCCGCCGAAGGGAGGGCCTCGCCCTCCAGAGCCGAGGGGGGCCGCCGCGCCTCTCCCCCCTCGGCCGGCGGGGCGGCGGAAGACGGGCGGCAGGCCGGCGGGCAGGCGGCCGGCGGGGCGGACGGCTCCGCCGGCGGACGGCCGTCGGAAGCTGGCGGAAGTCGGGGGAGGAGCAGGCGGGGCTCAGGAGGCGGGGGTCAATTCGGCGGCGAGCGAGGGGGGGAAGTGAGAAGGAGAAGGCCTTCTCAGAAGGTTCAGAAGTCCCCGGGCCTTCTAAGAAGCTTTCTAAGCCTTCCCCGAAGACGAAGACGACTTCTCAGAAGTCGCGAGGGCTTCTGAGAAGTCCCGCCGCCTTCTGAGAAGGCCTTCTCCTTCTCATTTCCCCCCCTCGCTCGCCGCCGATCAATGCAAAGGGGGGGTCAGCAAGAGAGCGCCTGGTCTTGCAGGATCCTGCAAGAACAGGGTCGCATTGACCCGGGTTTGGGTGCAGGACCCTGCAGGATCTTACAGGAGCCGTCGCATTGACCCGGGTTTGGGTCCAGGATCTTGCCAGAGTCTGCAAGGCCTGATTGACTTGGGTCTGGATTTGCCCCAGTCAGAAGATCCCCGAAACAGGAACCCATACCTCCACCCTTCGCTCGTTTTCCAGTTTTTTGGGGCCTCCTGGGAGGCCCTCGTCGCCGCCGCCGAATTCGCCTCGAGATTCTGGTCAGAGCGCACCCCGTGAGAGGTCCGGGGAGTAGTGGTATCAGTACCGTTTGGTCTCCCCAGGAAGTACAGAGCTCGTTTCGTTTCCCCCGATTCGATTCGATTCGATGTCGACGGATTCCAGTTCCGATTCGATTCGGCCAGGGGTTCCGATGTGGGCCATGATCTCTCACTGGACGCATACAAGCCTGCCGATGTCTGCCGATTTGTGTTGTTTTCCGACTCGGCTGCCGATTTCCCCCGATCTGATTCATGTCGATCGCCGATCCGACATCGATTCGATTCGGGGATCGCCTGGAAGTACAGTGGGGGCCCATGCCAAGAAACACCCTGCTTGCCTGCAGGGTGCCCTGGGTTTCTTGGGTTTTGATGGTTTTGCTTTTGGGAAACGTGACATTCCCACACCAGACATCAATGGACGTCCTGGGGTCTCAGAGTTGGGTTTCTTGTGGAAGGTTTCTTGTGGACTGGCCCCCCACTGTAAGACGGGCCCGCCCGAGATTCAGAGGAGGAACACGTACCCATACCGTTACCTTTCGGCCGTTCTCTTCTTGTGGGGCCTCCTGGGAGGCCCCGGTCGCCCCCGCTGGATTCGCCTCGAACTTCCGGTCAGAGCGCACCCCAGGAGAGGTTTGGGGAGTAGCGGTATCGGCATCTTCTGGTATCCCCAGAGATTGGGGCTCAAGAGACGGGGGTCAATGCAGACGGGGGGATTTCTCAGAAGACCCCCGCGCCTTCTGGGAGGTTTTTGCTGTGTCTCGGGGGGAGGCTTGGAACTGCTCAGGGGGCCGGGGGACTTCCGAGCCTTCTGCGAAGGCTCGCCCCTTCTCCTTTCCCCCGCCCCCGGGGCTCGCCGCCGGAGACGGGGTCTCGCCCTCGAGAACCCAGGCAGCATTGGCGGCGGCAGCTCGGCGGAAGCCGGGGCCGCCGGCGGACGGCCGTCGGAAGGCGGCGGAAGTAGGGCTCGGGACCTCGCAGAGGGGGAGGGGGCCACAGGCCTCGGCACCGCTCGGACGTGTGCATTGTTCCTTCGGCGAGGACCATCGAGGAGCATGTTTGATGCATTGGGCGAAAAAAAGTCACGCACGAAACCGAAAAAAGCACAGGGAATGGACGTCCGAGCGATGGCCAGCGGGGGGGGCGGGAGTTCGGTCCGTTGGCGCATCGATCCGCAGAACAGCTGTGCAAAACGAGGTCTCTGGCCGCCGCCAGAACCCGAGAGGCGTCGACAGTCGGAAATTCGGAAATTCGGTGCACCCGCGGATCGAACTCCCCCCCACCTCTCAGGGTCCCCCCCCCTTTGGGGGGCCCAGACATCATCGAGGATAATCGAATCCCCAGCCCTAAGGCTCGTAGGCCGCTCGTCGATCCCTGAGCGGCCGCCGCGGAGGGCAAGGAATGGGTCAGAGGAGGCAGGGGTGCCCATACTGGTACCCCTGCCTCGTTTTTGCATCTTTGGGGGCCCCTGGGGAGGCCCTCGTCGCCACCGCTGGATTCGCCTCGAGTCTCAAGTCAGAGCGCACCCTTGGAGAGGCCCTGGGAGTACCGGAGTCAGTACAGCTCGGTCTTCGAGGATAAAATCATCCCTGACCCTAACAGCTTAGTAAAGACGTGGCTTCACTGAGGTCTGGGCGGTCTGGTATGACACATCGAAGACCCCCTATGCCTAATGTTCTCTGGCCCGCCTAACTTATGTCGCCTCCCGAAGACTTAGGGGTCCTTTTCATGCCTAATCAAAACAGGCCCACCCGAGATCGGGGCTCAAGAGACGGGGGTCAATGCAGACGGGGGTCAGAGCGCTGGACCTTGCAGGATCTTGCAGAGCCAGGGGTGCACTGACCCTTGCTTGGGTGCAGGATCCTACAGGATCCCGCAGGATCTTGCAGGATCCTGCAAGGCCTGACTGACCGGGGTCTGGATTGACCCAGGTCAGTAGATCCCCGACAAGAGATGACAACATGTTTGCATTCGGGGTTTCCCGAACCGCGCAGTTGGAACTGATTGGGGACACTGTAGTGGTCTGAGCTCACCGCAATGCCTTAAAATTCTTGCAATGCGTGTGCGTCTGGATTGCGCGCGTGAGCGTGTGCATGTGCGTTTGAATGCAGATGGACATACACGATACACCACGGTGCAAATTCAAGTCGCAGTTACAACACATGCGCACAGATGCCCGATGCAAAACGAGGAGATCGTGGTTTGGCAAAGGTACGTGTAAGTGTATTTATATATATACACATGAATAGGTGTACGCATGTTCAGTAATGTATTTGAGCCGTGCGCAGCTGAAAGCACATGCGCATGATGATGGAATGGACATGAGCCTGAGTGTTCGCACTCGTCCGTACCTATTACGTGCCGCTTTGACGTGCGCGCGCATGTTTTAGTGTAGTCGCAGCGCTGGCGGACGCTCAGCGCACACGCTCAAGCACGCACAAGGAAATCGCGCCTCAACACGCGCACGTATCTATATCGTCGCACTTCGGTCGCGCAGGAAAATTCAGACAGCGCCTCCACCGTATGCAGGCGGTGAGCCCAGCCTCTGGAGCTCTTGGGTCTTCTTCCCCTGGGTTCATGTCAGTACGGTAGGTTCGCGCCGCGTTGTCGAAGCGGCGACCCTAGCGCGTGCGTTCAATGTGAAGCACCAGCAGTGGCTTGGAGTCGGCCGATATCGAATGATCTGCGTTACCGGATGGCTTGATCGTTCAAGATAGGGTCCACGGGGTGCCAAAACCAGCGCCGTCGTCAACGCGACGTGAACCCGCCGTAAGCAAGTTGCATACACAAGTATTCCTGTCACTGAGTTCTCAGCTTCCTGCCTCCAGATTCCTCCATGCACAACAGAACGCTCTAGCCGAATGGCAGTTCCCCCGAGGGCACAAGCAGCACGAGCATGACGACCACCAGTGCGACCAGCAGCACTGCTACCAGCAGCACCCTGACGAGCAACACCCTGACCAGCACCACCCTCACAAGCACCACCGGGAGCAGCACCACTTCATCCGCGAGCAGTACTACCGTGAGCAGTGTGACGGTCATCTGTTCCACTCCTTGACCTTCCCGTGTGGGGCTGTAGGGAGGAGGGGGCAGGTGAGGAGGAGGGCAGGATCCAAGCGAGGGCAGCGATGGGCGAGCGCAGCAGGCTGGGCAGTTGGCGCAGCGGTGGCGATTCTCTGAGCGCAGCGGTGATGGCGGTGAGGCAGCTCTATATCAACATGGCAGCAGGGACCACGTGGAAAATTGACAAGCAGGGGCCTACAACAGTCTAGTCTCGGATGCTATACGCGTTTGTTTTCGAGCATCGTCGAGGAGCTGGGCGATTGGAACAGTGGGATGCGCGTATTCCGACCCCAGGGCCATCCGTCATCATCCGCCCTTGTCGCATGTCTCTAGCATGGGTTGAAGCCTAGGCCGAAACATGCCCACGAGGTCCAGGAAGGTCCGAGCCTGCAGTGTGGGGACAGGTTCAGCTGAGAATGTTCTGCGGATCGAAGACTCGGGACGTACGCCATCATGCGTGCCGGTGCTGCAGCCTGCGTTCCCAGCTGCCCGTGTGGGGTGATGGCCCCGCTGGTTCTCACACAATCGACGCCCGGGCCCCATCTCAGGATGATGTAGTTCTGGCCATGCTTCGCACAGCTATCGTGCGCCGATGCAAGTTGATAGTTACCAGTGTGTGTCATGGGTTTACGCGAGCGATGCATCTCGGGTGCGGCAGGGGCCAATGCGTGATGAAATGGAATTGCATGTTGGTCTGGTTGTCGGTGGGGGCATGGCACTCATTTCGTTGCAAGTTCAGTCGTTTTTCCTTCAAATGCCTGGGTCCTGTGATGTCATCCTTCTGCATCTCCTCTCTGTTTGTAAAGCACATTTTCCAGGCGACGAGCTCCACAGAGAGCAGCACCACGCAGAGCAGCTCCACGACTGCAAGCACGCACACCGTCAGCTACACCCAGACGAGCAGCATCTCGCTGACTACCACATCGGGCTCGACCACGTCTGCCTCCTCGACTTCGGTGTCCACGACGACCGCCTCCTCCACCACGGTCTCAACGACGACGGAGTCGACGACTTCGGAGACGAGCAGCAGCACATCTGCCTCCAGCACCACGGCCTCCAGCACAACTGGCTCCAGCACTTCTGCCACCACTGGCAGCAGCACAGCAACCACGGAGACCGCGACGACGAGCACCCGCACCACGGAGACCGCCACGTCGAGCACCACGGACACCGCTACGTCGAGCACCACGGACACCGCAACGTCGGGCACTACGAGCACCGTCACGTCGAGCACCACATTTGCCACCGTGACCGCCACGTCAAGCACCAGTATCACCGGCAGCACCACGAAAACGCAAACGAGCGCCACAGAGTCGAGCAGCTCCACCGTCAGCACGAAGTCTACCACCACCGAGTCGTCCACGACCGAGTCGTCTACGACCACGGTTTCGCGCACGTCGACGACAACCGTCAGCACGCTGACTACCACCACTGACTCGTCTACGACCACCGTGTCGACCACGCTGACTTCGTCTACTGCTTCCTCCACGGTCCCCTTTTCTCTCCCGCGTCTTGCCCCGTCCCCATCGCTCTTCTTGCTGTCGTTGTCCTGTCAGCACCTCTGCCTCTGCTGCTGCATGGAGGGGCATGGGGCGGTGATCGAGCGAGGACGCGGCGAGGGGGAATAATCGAATGCGTCAAGGAGGCGAGCTCAGGGAAGAGAAGCGGAGCAGAGGGGAGAGGAAGCGGTCGCGGTCGAGGTGGGGAGGGGAGGGCGAGGAAGGGACGGGCAGTGGTGAGGAGATTCGGGGCAGTGGGAGGGGGGAGTGGTGAGGGGGGGGAGCGGGAAGGCAGACCGTTTCTCCCTCCTCCGCCTGTTCCTCCACCTTCCTTTTTTCCTTCTCCCCTTTCTCCACCCTCCTCTCCCCTGCTCATCCCTCTTCGACCCTCTTTCTTCACATCGTCTTCCTCGTTTTCTTATAGTTAATATCATTACTATGCTTCGTCTTCCTATCATTATTCCTATTGCTCCTCCTCCTCCTCAGTACTCCTACTCTTACTCTTTCTCATCCTCCTCCTTCTCCATTCCTTCCCCTGATGAGTAAGTCTTGACACTTCGCGTATACCCACCAGCTCTTTCAGATACATGTCGCCAGGCGAGTCGTCTTGATCAGGGACTTGTAGAAGCATGCAGTGAATCAGTCGCCATGGAAGTGTTTCTCCCCAATCAGTGCTTGCACTGAAGGGGTCCTAGTGGAAGCTCAAAGATTTGGCGAAAGTTTCCTGCCGATTTTGGCAGCACTCGGGATTCCCGGGTTCCTGGGTTCCCGGGCTCCCGGGTTCCGGTTACCATACCATGATTGGGTGTTTTCTCTGGTGTAGTTTTTGGTCGGAGGTCTCTTGGAGCCCTCTTGGGACTCCCTCTTGGGGTCCTCGTGGAGGCACTCTTTTGGGGCACTCGGGGGGCCCTCCTGGGGCTTCTTTGAGGGTTCTGGGGGGCCGCTTGGGGTTCTTGGGGCGGGTCTGGCATCGAAGCAGAAGAAGAACAACAGCATAAACATTAATTTTCGACTCTCCGCGCGGTTTGTTTGAATCTGAGCTGGGGGCCCTTAGCGGCGCCCCCCGCGCTGCCCCTGGCGCGCTCCGCGCGGCAGGGAGGGGGGGCCCAGCACAAATCCAAGAAATCCGCGCGGACCGCCGAACGTTTATCTTCCTCTATGGCAGGCCTCTTGCCGCAAGGTTGGGCTCACTGTTCAAAGAGAGAGGGGGATCGTAGGTCCAGCCCCCCCTCCCCCTCGGAGGCTCAAACATTGCGTCTTGGGGCCGTCTTGGGGCGCTCTCAGGCGCTCTTGGAGCCGTATTGGATCCCTCTTGGTCCCTCTTGGGGTTCTCCTGTGCCATCTTGAAATCATCATTGCACCTTAGTTGTTGGAGCCATGTTTGTCTCTTGGGGGGTCCTTGGAGGGCTCGGAGGGCGCTTGACACCATATTGGGGCCGTCTTGAAGCCCCTTCCCTTGGACGTGCGTCAGGGGCTATTTTGAGCCATCATGAGTTATCTTGAGCCATCTTGGAGGTCATCTTGGGGTCTCTGTGGCCCTCCTGGAACCATCTTGGACGATCCAGGCCCAGGGAAGGGGGCAGAGGGAGGGGTCAAGGCACCCTCCTAGTTGGCAAGCCGTCTAGCTCACTCCCACCCGCCCTCCCAACACGTAAGTAACACCCGAGCCTCAGCATGTCTAACGGTCGTCTTTGGATCGGCAGTTATTGGGAACCAACACCGGGCACATGTGCGCGAGGCTGGGGCGAGGTGCGCCACGCGTGCTTGGCGCGCCACGCGCGACAGGCACTCCTGGGGCCCGAGCGTGCCAGGCAGGCCTGGTGCGCCAGATACGCCACGTGCCTCCGCGTGCGCCAGCTGCGCCAGGTTTGCCACGTTCGCGACACGTGCAGAATGTGTCAGGTGTGCCTGCGCACGTGACAGCACACAACACATGTCGGCCCCACCATCCTTGTCGAAAAGCAATGCCCATCATTGTGTTTGGTGGGCCTGCGCAGCATGCCATACGCCACCACCCCCACCATCCCTGTCAAACACCACTTGGCTGTGATCGCGGGGTGGCCGCGCATGATCCAGATTCAGCTGCGAGGTGTATGTTGTATGGCTTCTGTCAGAGATGGTAGCCCTTCGCACAGCAGGCAATATGCTGACACCCCCGCGGTCCTCGTCAAAAAAGACTACGATGTGTTCGCGTGTCTCACGAACAAACGCTTGACTTTGCCCAAACTGTATATTGTATTGTTTTTTGAGGGGGATGGTGGGGGGTGCCACATCGGGTTGGTTGCGCATTCTCCGAATTTGGAAGCAGAGTGCGTTCCGTATTGTTTTGGCAAGGATCGCTTTGGAGGGTGATCGTGCGGTTATCATCATTTCTGGTTTGATGCCGTCTGCCTGGGGGATGGGGTGCATATTGATAAGGGGACATTGTTAACCCTTCCCCAAAGCATGGGAAGGAAGGATTTGGGGCAGAGATAAATCATCCTGGCGAAGGACGCAACCACATGCAATTGTGAGTACCGCTATTGTGAATACCTTTTTCGATGACGCTCCCTATGGAGCCACGAATCCACGAGCCGTATGAGTTGTGTGCCGAATTGCGTGGCGGGGTAGACAACACGAAAGAACACGGTAGGTCGAATTACGAGAGACAGACCGCGGGTGATTCTGAGCACGAGTGAGTATGAGTGTGAATGAGTCTGCGTGCGAATGTGTATGAGTGCATGAGTGCGGTCATGGCTACGCCTCATGTATATGTACATGAGTGTGAATGGTTCGGGGACGCCTGACTCTGAGCGTGAATGGTATATGAGTGTGAATGGTATATGAGTGTGAATGACAGTGAGCGAGGCCGCCGCAGGGAGCTTCCCCGGGAACCCCGACGGCAGCGCCCGCACACCGCGATGCCCATGTCGGCACGCTCCTCACGAGGATCGCGCCCGTTTCCTTCCCTTCCTTTCCTTGCTCTTTGCCCGCGCACTCCACATTCCGAGGCTACGGGCGCAACGCAGCGCGGAGTCCCCGCGACGCGCGCCGGTCGCCCGTAGGGGTCCCAGCGACGCGCGCGGGTCGTCCGCTGCGCGGAGCAAAGCGAGCTGGCTGGCATGCGGACTACTGTCACTTTCGCAACACAACGAACATCGATGCGTATGGCTAGCTTATCGAAACCGTTCCGGTCCAAGACCATGCTCCTGACGACACCCCATCGCTTAGAAATCCTAGACACTGGGTGGGGCCAGGCCACGGGGCGCGGTGGTTCAGATCACTTGCAAAGGATGGCTTCAGCGCAAAATGGAATCACCTGCCATATACATATCCACTATCCGGGCAAACAGGACGAGGAGGAAAAAAAGGAAGAGGACGGCGGAGGATGTAAACGCAGCAGTGAAGAGGAATTGGAGGGAGAGACAGAGAACCGTGCGCCCGCCCTCCCGCTTGCATCATCACCCTGGTGCGGAGGCGCGGCATACTCGTCCCTTTGAGCCTCACCCCCCCCTCATCATCGTATTTGCGTGCCCTCCTGACCATCATCATCCTCATCATTATACTTCACCTCCCTCGTCCTGATCCGAACGGCCTGGAGATCCCTGCTCGGTTCACAGAAACCATATGTGACGTTCCCTCTGGGGTGCAATCTGGGCGACGGGCGTCCCGGAATCGGTCGGCACGGCGCCGCCATGTGATCCCTGCGACTGGCGTTTTCGGTGGGTCTCCCTGTACGGCCACGAAGCGTGCGGGCTGCGTGCAGAAATTGGGCGGCACCGACATGCGGACCCTGCCGCTGCGGCTTTCGATGGTGCCACTTCCGGCCACGAGACGTGCGACGGGTGCGCCAAAATGTTGGGCCGGACCACGTGCGAACGCACCCACTGGGGCCTTCGGTGGAGCTCCCTATGGGGCCACGAAGCGTGTGAGCGGCGTGCCGAAATTAGGGTGGAACCGCATGCGGGCGCTGCCGCTGGGGTTTTCGGTGGAGTTTCCTATGGGGCCACGCATCGTGCGGGATGTGTGCCAACATGGGGGTGGAACCGCATGCGAACGCAGCCGCTTGGGCCTTTGGAGCCCCCTATGGGGCCACGGAAACGTGTGAGGGGTGTGCCGACATGGAACCGCATGCGAACGCAGCCATTGGGGCCTTCGGTGGAGCCCCATGCGGGGCCACGAAACGTGTGAGGGGTGTGCCGACATGGGGGTGGAACCGCATGTGGGGGCTGCCGCTGGGGCCTCCGGTGGAGCCCCCTTACGGGGCCACGTAACGTGTGAGGGTTTTGCCAACATGGGGGTGGAACCGCATGCGGTTGGGCTTTCGGTGGAGCTCCCTATGGGGCCATGAAGCGTGTGAGGGTTTTGCTAACATGGGGGGGGAACCGCATGCGAACGCAGCCACTGGGGCCTTCGGTGGAGCTCCCCATGGGGCCATGAAACGTGTTAGGGGTGTGCCGACATAGGGGGTGGAACCGCATGCGGGCGCTGCCGCTGGGGCCTTCGGTGGAGGTCCACGACACGTGTGAGGGGTGTGCCGAAATGGGGGTGGAACCGCATGCGAGCGCTGCCACTGGGGCCTTCGGCGGAGCTCCCTATGTGGCCACGAAGCGTGTGAGGGGTGTGCCGAAATTGGTTTCGACGATGGTGGCGATAACTGCGATGATGATGGCGACGATGGTGATGACGACGATGATGCTGATGATGAAGACGACGATGATGATGACGATGATGATGACGATGATGATGATAATGACGATGACGATGACGATGCTGATGGTGATGGTGATGATGATGACGATGATGCCGATGAGGAGGGAGAGGGCAGCGGGAGGAGTGAACGCGGGGCGCCGTCTCTTCAAAAACGAGGACACAACATTCTTTTCAACCATTTACAAGAGTTCTACGGATTGAGGGTGGTCCGTTTTCCAGATGTGGTTCTCGCTTTTGCGCCGCGCATTCATGTCACAGATTTGGAATCGTTTCTCGGATTGAGGGTGGTTCGTTTTCACACTGTGGTTATCGCCTGAGCACCGCTCACATTCGTTTTTTAATGTTTGCAAGAGTTTCACGGATTGAGGGTGGCTCGATATCAACATGTCGTTCTCGCCGTAGTGCTGTGCACATTCGTCTTTCGTTTTTTGGTCAAAACATGGAAAAATAACGATTCCTCGCTTCTCAGGGTTCAAGTACCAGACATGCTGTTCTGGAGCCATTCAGGATTGTGAGGGCACAGCAGTTACACATATCTATATATACATATATATATATATATAGATTCGCGGGGTTGTAGTCTGAGGAATGGCTATCTGGCGCGATTCAGGATCGGCAAGACGCATCAGTCAGTCTGACTCGTAGCGTTAAAGTCAACGCTTCCGGAAGTTTGCACTGTTGTCCTCCAGCGGGGCACTTCCCTTAATGGAAATGAGCCCTTGTAGAGGCCTGTGAAGAGGGAGCTTGGATGGAGGTGTACTCCAACATCGTTGATGGGTCTTGGACCTGCTCCTCCTCCTCCTCCTCCTCCTCCTCCTCCTCCTCCTCTTCCCCTCCTCAAGGGGAACAGAGGTGCCATTTCTGGTCTGAGAGGAGAGGACGAGACGAAGCGGATTTCTTCTGCAGCTGTGGGCGCTTTGGGATGAGACCACGGGGAACGCTGCTGTTCCGTAGCGTCTCTGGCATTTCTGGGCTGATCTGCTCGGACAATTGAAAGGGCCCCTCCGTTTTCCTGGAGCGTGGATCCGAACATAATGTTACGTCGGGCGTGTGCCTCTACAGGAGGCGATTCAAAAATAGTGAAGCCATAGTCTTGGGATGATGTTTTGGCATTGGTTGACTATTTCTGATTCGTTTGACAGTTTTGCACTTGCCCTCCGAAATCCGCCTGTAGGGGGACATGCCCGACCTAAACACAATGCCAGGCTGCAACTGAACTGCAGCGGTTTGTGGACTCCCTCTCCCAAACATGCAGGTGAAGCCACAGAGGGTCAGGCGCCCCCTGTTCTCGCAAGCCGCGTGATTTCACAGGGGTCGCTGCTCCCTCGTCTGTCTCTCGCTCTCTCTCCCTCTTCCTCTCTCTCCCTCCCTCTCCTCTCTCTTTCTCTCTCTCTTTTTCCCTCTCCCTCTTCCTCTACCTCCCTCCGTCTCTCTCGTCGGGCGAGGAGGGGAAGCAGGAACAGCAGCAGCAGAAACAGGAAGAGGACGAAGGGCCGTAACAGGAAGAGGAGGAGGAGGAGGAACAGGAGGAGGAGGAGAAGTTGTGCAGGAACATGACAATAGAATGGTGGTAGCACAGGGTGCTGCTGGGGGGGGGCTGTACACACATCTAGATGCAGACAAAAGATATGTGCGCACACTTGGTTACATCCATGCATGCGGAGGCGAGTGATACATATATATATATATATATAGAAAGAGAGAGAGAGAGAGAGAGAGAGAGAGAGAGAGAGAGAGAGGAATGAGCGTGTTCTACCGCTGCTGGCGGAAAACCGGGGGGGGTCACTACTGGTTCGAACCCCTCCCCCCCCCCCTCCGGAAAACCGGGGGGGGTCACTACCGGTTCGAACCCCACCCCCCCCCCAGTTCATCATGAAAAGGGGAGGGGTCACTACCGGTTCGAACCCCCCCCCCCCCCTTGAACTCGAAAACCGGGGGGCCCCCTTCCCGGTTCGAACCCCCCCCCCCCCCCTCGAAAATCGAGGGGGGGGGCGGACAGTGGTGGGGACGGTGGTGGTGGGGACTGGTGAGGGGACAGCGGGACAGTGGTGGGGACAGTGGACAGTGGGACAGTGGTGGGAACGGTAGTGGTGGGGACACTGGTGAGGATCATGGTGGGAACAGTGGGGACAGTGGGACAGTGGTGGGGACGGTGGTGGTGGGGACAGTGGTGTGGGGACAGTGGGAATGTGGTGGAAACAGTAGAACAGTGGAGGAACCAGTGGTGGTGGGGACAGTGGTGAAGGCGGTGGCGAGGACGGCGGTGGGACATTGGGACAGAGGTACAGTGGGGACAGCGGTGGGGACAGTGGGGACAGCGGTGGGCACAGTGGGACAGTTCAGTGGGACAGCGGAGGAGTCAGTGGGACAGCGGGGACAGTGGGGATAGTCGGGCAGTGGTTGGGGCCGTGGAGAAAGTTGGGAGAGTGGAACCGTGGTGGGAACAGTGGTGGGGACAGTGGGGACAGTGCGACAGTGGTGGTGGCTTTGGTGGGGACAGTAGGGGCGGTGGTGGAACCAGTGGGGACAGTGGTGGTTGAGGACAGTGGTGCTGGGAACAACAGCGGGGGATGTGGTGAGGACGGTGGTAGGGACCGGGAGTCGTTTGCTGGCGGTGAGAAGGAGGGTGGGGGAGGGGTTCGAACCGGTAGTGACCCCCCCCTCCGGTTTTCGAAGGGGGGGGGGGGTCGAGCCGGTAGTGACCCCCCCCCGGTTTTCGAGGGGGGGGGGGGGGGAGGAGGAGGGGTTAGGGGAGGGGGGTTTTTGCCGGGGGAGGGGGGGGGGTCCAGCAGGAGGGGGGAATTTTCGGAGGGGGGGGGCGGGTTCCGGAGGAAAAGGGCAGCAATTTTCCATAGTAAAGCGGCGGTGGATCACGCTCTCTCATATATATATATATATATATCTAGAGAGAGAGAGAGAGAGAAAGAGAGGGAGAGAGAGAGAGAGAGAGAGTGCGAGACAGCGCGAGAGAGCGAGAGAAAGAGAGAGAGAGAGAGATAGATAGAGAGAGAACGAGAGAGACTGGGAAAGAGAGAGAGAGAGAGAGAGAAAACATGAAAAATACGGTAAAGAGATGAGTCGGAGGAGTGTGAGGATGCGACGTGCCTTTTTCCCTTCGCACCGATGATGGATCCTCCAAAGCCTTGGACAACAATGCGGACGCCGTGCCGGCCATCCAGGACCCTACGGATCGACTCTGGGCCTCTTGAATGGGGTCAGAGTAGATGGGGTCGGAGGATCGCGCAGCATCGCCGATGCATCGGCGATGCGGCTCAATGCGGAACCCCATTTTCTCCACGCTGGCGTCGCCGATGCATCGCCGATGTCGCCGAAGCATCGGCTGGCAATGTATCGCCGATGAATCGGCGATACGGCGCGATCCTCCGTCCCCGTCTGCCACGACTCCATCTACGGGGCCTCCAGCGTCGCCAGATGACCCCCGACCCGCATGACCGCACGAACGCCTTGATTCTCGGCCCTGCAGCAAAAGAGCAGTCCTGCAGGCGGCACCGCACGACAGGGTGCCCGCCCTAACTGGGACTGCTCCCGTCGTCGCTGGATGGCCTGTAGCAGCTAGCAGCCAAAGCTTGAGCCCCCCCCCACGGCTGGGTGGAGGTGGCGGAGCAGGAAGGAGGAGGAGGAGGAGGAGGAGGAGGAGGAGGAGGAGGAGGAGAGAAGAACAGCTGGAAGAGGAAGAGGAGAAGGAGGATCTAGGCCTCCCAGATGGGATCGGAGTAGATTGGGTCGGAGGATCGCGCTGCAAGGCCGACGCATCGCCGATACGGCTCGATGTGGAGCCCGACTTGCTTGGCGTGGACGTTGCCGATGCATCGCCGACGTCGGCGATGCATCTCTGGTGCATAGCCGATGCATTGCCGATGCATCGGCGATGCGGCGCGATCCTCCGACCCCATCTAGGATGCCTCTAGATGATGTGGCGGAGTGGGGGGAAGCAGGTCCTAGGGCTGCCCATCGAAGAGGGAACGAGCCGGGGAAAGCAGGTCCCAGGGCTTTTCAGAGAGCGGCCAGACATGCGTCAAATGAGAACCTGAGGAGGAGAAGGAGGAGCAGGAGGGTTGAGAGAGAGAGAGAGAGAGAGATGGAGGGAGGCAGAGGAGGAAGGACTACGCGCATGTGGAGCAACGCAGGATGATGATGATGATGACGAATAACATGTGCGTGCGTGTGAGTTGTTGCGTTTGTACAGGGCCTTCGGTGCGCTTGTTTGCGAGCGTCGATACTGGTTTGAGGCGCAGTTCTAGTATTTGTGCACTTTGGTTCGGGATTGCATTCTGGGCGACAGACCACGATCACAGCGTCGTTGACTACGACCACACCGACAAGCACGTTATCTACTTCCAGCGCAACAAGTACCACTACAGTGAGCACCACTGACTCCAGCACATGGACGTTGACTACCAGCAGCGCCACTTCACAGTCCAGGGATGGGTGATTGGCTGGCATTGGTGCTGGAGTCGACTCACCAGACGCGTAGAAAGATGCTGGTGCCTTGTGAGAGAGAGAGAGAGAGAGAGAGAAGAAGGCTGTGAGGAGTAGAGGAGGGGGGGGACAGGCGAGCTGGGAGTGCGAGGAAGATGTGCGGGACGGGAGGAGCACGAGGAGGACGAGGGCGACGGTGGGGGACAAGGGGGTGGAACAGAAGGAGAAGGCAAAGGTAGGCAGAGGATGTGGGGGTGAACCAGCTGAGGAACTGGGGGTGAAGCAGAAGAGGAGGGGGACGAGGATCGGACGAAGGAGGATGAACGATAGCGAGGAAGGGAGAGGAGGAGGAAAAGTCTACGAAGGTGAGGAGGCATGATACCGTTGCGAGGCCTTGCCACCCAGAGTGCGGAAGAGGCTCTTCAGACTCGCCAGGAAGCTTGGCAAGACTGGAGACGGATGAGAGTGGAGGGGCCCAGACCCCTTGCGATTCGGGGAAACACATCTGATCGTTGTCGCACTTGTACAGTCGGGGCGTGAAGAAGGAACCGTTTGCGTTGGGGAGGGGCTCCGTGTTCTTTGATTGTTCTACATTTGCCTCAGGTGTTCCTGAGGTTATCCACGGGACATCGAAGTTTCTAATTTGCGGAGAAAAGAGGCCTCGTTCCCTTTTTCTGCAGTGTCTGTGTCTGGAGCCCGTTCTGGGACCCATGACCGGCAAACAACTAGCGACTCGGGGTGCCGAGCCGGTTCGGGAGGAGGGTCCTGGGGAGCTCCTATGGGGCAGGCGAGGCCTCCCACGGCACGGTGCACCGCAATCCATCCCCCCGGCCTGGGAGATGGGGCGGGGTGTCGCCCTTGGAGAAATGCGTGGGGGGGGGCGGCAGGGTCCGGGCGGGGGGGGAGGAGGAGGAGGAGGAGGAGGGGGAGGAGGAGGAGGAGGAGGAGGAGGAGGAGGAGGAGGAGGAGGAATGTGAGGAGGAGGAGGAGGAGGAAGGGGAAGAGGAGGCGGCGTTTGAGAGTTGGGGGAGGAGTTGGAGGAGTAGGAGGAGGAGGAGGAGGCGGACGGCGGAGGGTGAGGTCGGGGGGTGGTCAGCAGGCGGAGGAAAAAACAGGAGGCGCACGCGGCGTCCCACGAGACGCGAGCGCCCTCGACAACGGGCGCGCATCGGGACGAGCGGCGGCGGCAGGACGCCCAGGCGACGACGACGACGACGACGACGACGACCACGGCGGCGGCGGCGTGCCCGAGAGCGTGCCACCCGCGACGTGGCGGCGGAGAGGGTCGGCGCGCGGCGGGCGCAGGTCGACCACGACCGGGTCCTCGACGTCCTCGACGACGGTGCTCTTCGCGCTGCTGAGCGGCGGCGAGAGCTGCACGGACGGAGAGGGGCGTCAGAGGAGGGTCCAGGGCAGATGTTCCACCACCACTGCCATGTGTAGGACTGGGGAGGAGGGAGGATGAGGACCTCCTCCTCCTCCTCCTCCTCCTCCTCCTCCTCCTCCTCCTCCCTCTCCTACCTATGGTGGTGCTGGTGGTGGAAAATTGGCCATCGGAGGAGAAGGTGCCATAAGCCTCTCAGGTGGGGTCGGAGGATGGCGGATCGCGCCGCAACACCGATGCATCGCCGATGCGGCCGGATGTCGATTGGGCCCGTGTTTCTCCGCGCCGACGTCGCCGATGCATCGGCGATGCATCGGCGATGCATTGGCGATGCATTGGCGATGCGGCGCGATCCTTCGACCCCAGCTGCTATGACCCAGCTGCCATGACCCAGCTACCCTGCCCCCGTGCTCCCTTTTTGTCGGCCTCCCGGGAGGCCCTCGTCGCCACCGCCGGACTCGCCTCGAGGTCCTGGTCAGAGCGCATCCGTGGTCTGCCCAGGGTGGGCGATCAGGGGCGGTCTGACCGACCCCGAGCAAGCTATCCCCCTCCGTGACGTCCCCCGCGCCTCGCCCCAAGACGTGTGTATGCGGCCGGAGGGAAGCTTGCGAGGGGAGGATGGGTCGGTTCGGCCGATCCTGGGGCGAGGACGAGGACGATGTCGGCGTCTCTCGTTCTTCTGTTCTCTGTGTGTGCGTGTGCTTTTGGGCTCTCCCTTGGGGGGCTCGGGAGGTCCTCGTCGGCCTAGCTAGGCGCATAAGGACGTGCTAGTACGATGAGTCCTCCCTGGAGGCGTACGCCCGGGCCGAACCTGTAGTATCGACCATCTTGTAGTACACGCCAGTCGTTGAAAGTAGGTGTTTCTGGATTCCCAGATCCCAGTGGAATTTAATCGAAGAAGAAACAACGACATACGCATAAACTGTTGGTGCTCCGCACGGATTTCTTGGATCTTCGCTGGGGCTCCGTGGCGGCGCCTCCGGCGCCGCCCATGGCGCGCTGCGCGCGCCAGTGACGGGGTCCAGCGCGGCGGAGATCCAAGAGACCCGCGCGGAGCGCCAAAAGTTTATGTTTATGGCGTATGTTCTTCTTTTATTCATGCCTACTCCAAGAATCGATGTGCTTTTGCTGCGTTTCGCTATTCTCCGGGAGGGCCTGAGGCCAATCTACTTTGCCCGCCTTCCTACTTCATGCTTTCACCTACTTCTCCCGACCGACGTGTATATCTTTCCCCGCGCGGTCTGGCCAGAAAGCGCCCGCCACGGAGCGTGGGCAGGAGCTCGGAGGCGGAGAACGCACCTATACCTCCACCCTCGTCTCGTTCTCCCCTTTTTCGGGCCTCCGGGGCCTGCGTCGTCGCCACCGCTGGATGCGCCTCGAAATCCTGGTCAGAGCGCACGCCAGGAGAGGTCCAGGGAGTAGCGGTACCGGTACCTGCCGGTGTCCCCAGGGGCGTGGTCGGACGGGGCCAGAGGAGGAATCCGTTCCAGAGCGTTCCGGAACGCTCTCAGAGCGTCCCTCAATTCTCTGAGAAGAATGCGGCGCCCGAGATAGCCTCCAGAGCCGCCAGATCTCAGAGATTCTCGATCTATCCTGGAGGCTCCTGAGGGAGTCTGTCGAGGAGGCTTCTGGAGGAAGGTGCTCGGGGAGGTTCCCGAAGGAAGGCTTCCCTGGTCGGGCTTTCCGGGTCAATGAGGAGCACGAGGTGGTGATGGACTTTGGAGAGCGTCTTTATTCCCGGGCGGTAATGGCCGTTACCGTGTGTGTGTGTGTGCCCAGACTTATTCAAAGTGCGACCTATTCATGTTCAAGCCCAGTCGTGCTCGGTCTCCTTGGAATATGCTCACGCGTATCCAGGCTCACTTGCAGTTAGACGCGCTCACACCCAGGAATTCATACGCAGACGCATTCACACTCATCCCTGTTCTTACTCATACCCACTCAAATATTCAGATGCCTAATCATACTGATACCGTATCCCAGCCGTGGTACTTCTCATAGCCATGCATACCGCGCCACATATACTCAGACTCAGCTTCGCCCATGCTCACCAATCGTTCCCCACTCGTATTCAGACTTGTTGACGCTCAGGATCTGTTCTATTCAGACCATCAGCAGGCAAGGCGGTAGAACATGGATGCGCGTATGAAGGTTTGCGCGCGGAAGAACCGAATCCTGTCTGCGCGATGGCCCATCAGTCATCGGGCCTGGACCCCCTCTCCTTCAGCGTATGCGGGCGCCGAGGAACCAGCTGTGCTGCACTAAATCCTTCCGTCCAAGGTTTCTGATCAGTCCAGAGTTTTTGAGCCGCAGCGCGAAACAAAGCCAGCCAGTCCGCGCGCGCGCTCCGCAAGCCGGGCGACGGGGAGGCGAATTGTCCCGGACGCAATGGGAAAATCAATGGGGGAAATCTAGGCCTCCCAGATGGGGTCCGAGTAGATGGGGTCGAATGATCGGTCCACGTCGCCGATGCATCGGTGATGCGGCTCGATGCGGAGCCCGATTTGCTCCATGCCGACGTCGCAGATGCGTCGCCAGCGTCGCTGATGCATCGCCAATGCATCGGCGATGCATTGGTGGTGCGGTGCGATCCTCCGACCCCACCCGCTCCGTCCCCATCTGGGAGGCCTCCGGGGACGAGGGGCGGCCGCGGGAGGGAGGGAGGGCGCGGGGGAGGGCGGGCGCGCTCAACGCAGCGGGCTCCGCAGATGGGCGCCCGGGGCAGCCGAGCCGGGGTTGGCACCCCGCTGCCAGCTCCTCCTCCTCCTCCTCCTCCTCCTCCTCCTCCTCGTAGCTGGCACGTTCGGCGTCTATCGGAGGGGCACAAACATCTTCCTCCTCGTCGTCCTCCTCCTCCTCGTAGCTGGCACGTTCGGCGTCTATCGGAGGGGCACAAACATCTTCCTCCTCGTCGTCCTCCTCCTCGTCGTCCTACTCCTCCTCCTCCTCCTCCTCCTCCTCCTCCTCCTCCTCCTCCTCCTCCTCCTCCTCCTCCTCCTCCTCCTCCTCCTCCTCCTCCTCCTCCCCCTCCCCCTCTTCCTCCTTCCGGGGCGGCGTCGCGTCCACACCCGGATCAGCCCACGCGGGCGCCGTGCTTCTATCTTTCCCACGGGGCGGAGCGCCCCCCCCTCCTTTGGTGAGACGGGCGCCCCAGGTCGCCCCCGCAAGCAGCTCGGGCGGGAGGTCCGTCTCTTGAGAGGGTCCTCTCTTCGAGCTGTCGGGGATGCGCGGCACAGGGCGTCATGGCGCCAGCATCGCAGAGCGGATTTGGCTCGGAAAACGATGGGATGGGCCCGGACTGTCCTGGAGAATCTCGTCCCGGATGTCGATGTGAATGTGTCGCGCTGTTTTGGCCAGGAATGAGGACTACAACAAATCCACGTGAGATTCACGTCGCTTTTCGCCTGCAATTTCGGGGTGTCGCACTACGAGAACCCGCGCAGAAATCCGCTGCAGCACGTCTGCAAGGTTGGTGCAATGAAAAGGGAGCAAAGCTGTTTCAGACAGGCTTCAAGGCGGCACCCCCATTTTCGGAACGTCTTCGCCCTCTATCGGCGTGAACGCCTGACGTTTTGAGAACCACGAGCCCCGGGTAATACATCATACCCCCCTCTCCCCCCCTGGGAGTTGATTCCCCCCGGCCAAGACAGAGTTGGCGGAGGGAGAGGGGCGGCAAGGCCTAACTTTACCATCGCGGGGGAAAGGTACGAATCGAAGTTTTTGTCTTCTCATGTTGAGCAGCAACATCATTAAAAACGTGTGGCATGGTAATGGTTATTCTTCCCTCGTGCGACTTGCCCGGATCCCCCGAGACCCCGAGCTGTGATACCCCCCGGGTGCTACTCCCAGGGGCATGGGGCTGGACGAGTGGGCGCGGCGCGGAGACGAGAGCCAGGCTTCGAAGACCCCGCCCCCCACACGCCAAGCCCGTCCTGCCGACGCGTCTGGTGGTGCGACAGGGAGGGGCTGTGCCTCGAAGCAGGAGGGCCTGCGCGGAAGCAGCAGGGGATGCGGCGGGGGGGGGCCGTGCCGTGGCCCCCCCCCGCGCTGCCCCACGGCGCGCGCGGTGCCGTGCGGAGGGACGTCTCCGGCGGTGCTGCGCTGCGTGGCGTTGCGGGTAGTGGCCTGAGTCTGTATCGCGCACCGCAAGAAGAGGAGGAGCTGGTCGACTGGAGGAGGAGGAGGAAGAGGAGGAGGAGGAGGAGGAGGAGGGGGGAACAGGGAGGAGGAGGGGGGGGAGCGACGTGGTCGGGCAAGAGAAGGAGAAGGATGAACTCTGCCCGACGAAGGAGGGAGCAGGAGGCTTGACGCGCGGGCCGAGGGCTTCGGCGTTCAAGACGTCATAGACGAGACCATGTGCTTCACGATCGGGAAGGCGGCTCTGGTTCTGTCTGGATTGGCGGTATCTCTGGGATGATCCGTGGCTGTCCATCGAGAAGCGGCTTGGCCCTGTCCCAATCTCTTCCCAGTCTTTCTTTCAGCCGTGCTGTACAACGGGTGTGGGTGCTCGGGAGCAGTCGCTCTATGGCACTATTTCGAAACGAGCCAGTACGAATTTGGCCACGATTCCAAGCGGCTCCCGCCGATGGTGTTCCGATTGATTCCGATGGTGTCTCGATGGTTCCCTTATCGTGATCCAATTAGTTTCAATTAGTTATGATGCTGTCCCGACGGTGTCCCAATTAGTTTTGATGCTGTCCCGATGGTGTCCCAAGTGAGTGCACTTGTGACCCAATGGCGTCCCGATGGTACTGCCTTGGATGTGCGATATTGCCCGATGTTGTTTCTTCTGATGATGTCCCGACGGTGTCAAGATATCGAGGACTCCTATGGCGAAGCATCGCCGCCCGCTGCCTTTGGAAGCGCCCATGCCGCAAAATGTCGGGCCAACGTCTGGCCAAACTGTTGGACCGTGTGCTCCCCCAGCCGTTGTGGAGCCTCTGGGGAGAACACTCGGAAGAGAGCGATAACAGGTGAACGCTGAAAGCTGAAAGCTCTCCTTGGCGGATTGGTGCTAGCCAGGAGTTGGTGGGGATAGGTTTCACTCCCGAAACAATCCGTGACCCTCACGAGTCGCTCGCCGAATGGTTTTCAGGAGTTGAACAACACAGACACAGTTGATTGTCGATTCCACGGGAAATTCTTCACGCTTCGCGTATTCCCACCAGCCCGCCCGCGACTTTCTGCCGCTGGCGCTTCCGCCTGCGGTTGTAAAAAAACAATAAACAAAAGTATTCCCACCAGCCCCTTCAGAAGCCTTGCCCACGAGAGTTGATGGGAAAAGGGACGAAGGGACACATCTAGGGAAACAAAGCGAGCAACCAGGATGAACCGAGAGATCTCTGGGAGCAAGGGCGTGGCCTTGGAAGGCCTCTTCGGGCCATCCCTGGGGACATCGTCCTGCTCCTCGTCCTCGTCCTCCTCCTTCTCCTTCTCCTTCTCCTTCTCCTCCTCCTCCTCCGCCTCCTCCTCCTCCTCCTCTTCCTCCTCCACCCTTTCCTCCTCCTCCTCCTCCTCCTCCTCCTCCTCCTCCTCTTCCTCCTTCCCCCTACACCTCCTCCTCCTCCTCCTCCTCCTCCTCCTCCTCCTCCTCCTCCCTCCTGCACCTCCTCCTCCTCCTCCTCCTCCTCCTGCCCCTACTCATCCCTCCTCCTCCTCCTCCTCCTCCTCCTCCTCCTCCTCAGCAACCATACGTGGCTCGGCGGTCTGTCGTTGTCCGGATTCTGTTGTCGCGGACCCACCCTGCTCGTGAGTCTAGTCGCCCGCTCTGTGCATCCGCTCGCGCTCGGGTGACGTCTCGTTTTTCCTGGTACCGCTCATCCCCTCGTTTGTCATTTTCTCCTCAAGAGGTTCGCTGTCAAAACATATCCGTACGTTTTTATTTTTCCCCTGGGGGGGCCGGAGCGGCGTCTTAAGGCCTTCTTGGGCTGTTGTGGGGGGGGCTGTTAGGGTTGCGCTGAGGCCATCCTGAGCGGTCGCGCTCCGTCTGAGAGCCATCCTGGGCCCTAGCCCGAGCCATGAGGACGCCCTCTTGGCTCGTCGTGGGTGCATCCTCGAGGCGAAGCTTCAAAGCTGGCTTGAGGTGGTGCGGGCCCGCGAGCCCCTCCTCCTCCTCCTCCTCCTCATCCTCCTCCTCCTCTCATTCCTCCTCCTCCTCCTCCTCGTCCTCCTCCTCCTCCTCCTCCTCCTCCTCTAACTCCTAACCAACTGAGTCGCCAAATGACGGTGTCCGAGAGCTCAGCCGCAGGCGGCCCGCCGTATTCGTGACGCGTCCTGTTTTCTTATCGCCCATCATTATCACGCTACCTTCCCTGTTACACTTGACCATCTGATTGATCTTCTTCGGTCGGAATTATGACGAGGAAACGTCCGTTCCAGTGCGGTCCAGAACGCTCTCAGAGCGTTCTGGAGCGCTTCGAGAAGGCCGCGACGCCCGATACATCCTCCAGAGCCGCCGGATCTCAGAGATTCTTGATTTACGGGCGCAGCCCGCAATTTGATTTTCGCAAGGTAGATTGTCTGTTGAACGAACAACTGATTACGGTAGGTTTGCGTCGTGTCGACCAGCGGCGACCCCAGCGCGGGCGTTCAAGGTTGAACGCCGCCGGCGACCCAGAATCGATCGATGTTGAACGATCGGACGTTGCGGCAGCGGCCGATCGTTCAAGGTTGAACGATCCCTGCGGTGTCAGAAACCAACGCTGGGGTCGGCACGACACGAACCTGCCGTAAGCAAAGCCGTTAGATAGCCGTTCTATTTCCAGGGGTGAGGATATTTCGATGGCCAATGTTGTAAGTCCAGGGGGGTGAGGACATTTCGCTGGCAGTGTTAAGTCCAGGGGGTGAGGATATTTAGCTGGCAGTTTTAGGACTCGGGCGGTAAGGATATTTCGCTGGTAGGTTTAAATTCGGGGGTTGAGGATATCTCGCTTGCAGTTTTAGGCCAGGGGGTTGAGGATATTTCGCTGGCAGTCTTAGGCCAGGCGATAAGGATATTTCGCTGGCAGTTTCAAGCGAGCGGTGTGAGGATATTTCGCTGGCAGTTTTAAGTCAAGGGGGTAATGATATTCCGTTGGCAGTTTTAAGCGAGGCGAGTGAGGATATTTCGCTGGCAGTTGTAAGCGAACGATGTGAGGATATTTCGCTGGCAGTTTTAAGCAAGGGGGTGAGGATATTTCGCTGGCAGTTCTATTCGAGGGGCGTGAGGATATTTCGCTTGCAGTTTTAAGTCAGGGGGTGAAGATATCTCGAAGGCAGTTTTGGGCCAGGGGGTGAGGATATTTAGCTGGCAGTTTTCAGGGGTGTGCGGATATTTCGCTGGCAGTTGTAAGTCCAGATCTCGCCGGCAGCTTCAGGGTGTGAGGACATTTCGCTGGTAGTGTCAAGCGATGGGTGTAAGGATATTCCGCTGGCACTGTTAGGCCAAGGGTGAGGATATTTCGCTGAGGGGTGTGATGATATTTCGCTGGCAGTGTTAGGCAAGGGTGGTGAAGATATTTCGCTGGCAGTTCTAGGCCAGGGGTTGAAGATATTTCACTAGTAGTGTTAACGGAGGAGTGTGAGGATATTTCGCACGTCATGGTGTTGAGGATATTTCGCTGGCAGTTGTAGGCCTGGGGGTTGAGGATATTTCGCTGGCAGTTTTAAGGCGGGGGGTTGAGGATATTTCGCTGGCAGTTTTAGGCCAATGGGTTGAGGATATTTCGCTGGCAGTTTCAAGTCCATTGCGTGAGGATATTTAGCTTGCAGTTTTGCGCCAGGGGCGGTGAGGATATTTCGCTGGCAGTTTCAAGCGAGGGGTGTGAGGATATTTCGCTGGCAGTTTTAAGCGAGGGGTGTGAGGATATTTCGCTGGCAGTTTCAAGCGAGGTGTGTGAGGATATGTCCTGGCCCAGCCGAAGGCTACGCTTGCAGCGCGGTGCTGCGCCCGTATATATGCTCGCCCCTTGGCGTGGGGCTGGCGGGGGGCGTAGTGGCGAGCTGTCCGGTGTTTTATTTTCACCCGATTCGATCTGTGTTTTGGTTCTGTCTTACTTCTCTGGTGTAATGAATTCTGTAGAGTATTCAAGTCTAGGGGCTAATCTTCAGGGCACCACACTCAGTGTCTGCGGTACGTAGTTGGACGACGATGGTTGGGATGATGAGGAAAGCGGTGATGTGGAAGAGGTTTAAGTATGATTCGGGTTGAGGGCAACACTGGGACACATTGAGCGTGGTTGTGTGATCAATTCATGCATGCCTCCCTCCCTCCGACCATAATCCCCTCCCCTTCTGGTTCCTCTCTCGTCGTCGTCGCCACCGTCATCCTCTTTCTCATCTCTGCCCTCGTAGCTGGCCGCTGCAGCACTGTCGCCCCTCAGGGCCATGTTGGCCTGAGCGAGAAGACCACGTTCACGCTCGCGGGTCTGCCCTTCTACGGCAGCCGGGTGCACTAAGACCCCCGCCCAAGAGGAGCAGGAACATGACAGGGACGAGGAGCAGGAGTACCAGCAGCGGTAGGGGCAGGTGTTCTCGAGAGTCTAGGGAGCTCCAGTTCACGTCTTGACATCATGCCCATCCCCGACTCGCGAGGCGCCGGTGCACACGACGGCGCCTCCTGACCACATCTCTTAGGAACGTGCTTCATTCAGCGACGAGTTCCAGCCCAGCGTTTTCGGGTGGTAGATTCCCTGGGAGATCCTCGCAGAGTAGGCTTTCGTTTTCCGAGGGGGCTTGTCCAGGTCCTGCGATGTCGTCATAAGGTCCCGAGTTGTCCGGGAGAGGCCTGCCTGATGCCCCCAGGGAGCCCCAAGGTGCCACCAAGAGGCCCTTTGCCAGAGGCCGCCGAGAGGCCCCAAGGTGCCCCCTCGCACTCTGCAGCGGCGCAACACGCATGGTGGATCCAGCTTCGCTCCTTTGCTCAGGCTGTCGCGGCCGCTGGCTGCTCCCCGGCGGGCAAGATGCGCGTAGCTAAAGCTGGCCGTGATGCTGGCAGCGTCTCTTTTCTTTCGAGTGCCCCCCCGCCCACTCTGCGCTCGTTAGGCTGGCGTGCTCAGGTTGCTGGCGTTGCGCTTCTCGCGCTGCTCGTGGCAGTAGGTGGTCTTGACCGGTTGTTTGAAATCTGCACGGGCTCGCCCGCGGTTCGCTTTGAGTAGGCTTGGGAAGTTGTGCGTATCTGTGCAGATATCGAGTGTGAGTTTGCAGCTTATCTTCTGGACAAGCTGGCGTCCGACAGAAGTTGCATGTAGGCAGTTCGCCGGCGGGGACACTGGGGGGAGGGAGACTAGGAGGAGGATCGTCCAAACATTGTGATCCTCCTCTTTCCCCTGGGAGGAGGAGGAGGAGGAGGAGGAGTACCAGTGCAAACCCAAGACGCATCAGCGAAGTTGCAATAAACCGTCCCTCCAAGTTCCATCTTCGTAGGTCCTTACAAACATGTAGTTGTCTTCATTGCGTGAAGTACCCCAGAAGCAGACCACCTTTTGGGAGTCCTTAATCGCGCAGCGAGTCAACGTGACTGTTGCGCCCTGACAGTTCTAAAACGTGCCAGAAGATTGTTTCCGTGACTTCAATATCGCGACTCAATTTATCCGAAACCGCGACAAAACACAATCCCAAGATTTTCAACATACGAATCCTCGAATATGTTCTAAACGTTCAAGGCGAATGTGCGAGGCGTTGAGATGAGAGCTACATTTTGGAAAGGGACCAGCCGCAATGTTTTGTTTGAAACATTGACTTCTGAAGCGATTGTGCGCAGCGCTATGGCGAGAGCCACATTTCGAGATCGGCCCGCCCTCCATCCGAGAAACGGTCGCAAACTTTTAAGTGGAATGTGCGCAGCGCTGAGGCGAGAGCCACACTTTGAAAACGGCCCGCCCTCCATCTGCCGGGCTGCTACAATTGTCAAGCTTCATGATCAGAAGCTGTGAGGGCGTCTCAGGCAAGACGTCTGGCCCGCCCTACTTGACACGTCTGGGTGTGCGACAGGGAGAGGGGCCATGCAGGGAAGATGGACGGAGGATGAGAATGATGAAGAGCGAGACCTCCGGTGGATCGATTTGCTAAGTCCGTTAGGTCCCCACATCTCTTGAATTATGATGGTCCAACCTACTTTAGCCCTTTGGCAACCAGAAATTATTTCGAACACCACGAGAGTACCGACACTTGAGGGTTCTCAGGTGTCGGGCCCTGGCGGGCGATGCTCGCTCGACACCCTTTCGGAAGTTCTGGGATGTGGTCCTTGAGTACAGTGGGAGCAACAGAACTCTTGAGCCGCTCTGTTGGGTTCTCACATGCCGGGCCCTGGGGGGGGGGCGATGCTCGTTCGGCACCCTTTCGATACTTCTTCTGGCGCTCGCGAAAGCAATGAGTACGATGGGAGCCACGTGCAGTGGAGACCCATGCCAAGAAACACCCTGCTTGCCTCGAGTGTGCCCTGTGTTCCTTGGGTTTCGATGATTTTGCGATGGGAAGCGTGACGTTCCCTCACCAAAAAATCAGTGGACCTCCTGGTGTCTCAGGGTTTGGTTTTCTGTGGAAGGTTTCCTGTGGACTGGCCTCCACTGTAACTATTGAACCTGCTCTTTGTTGCTGCTTTCTCCTCCCGAACCAGCTTCTGACGGTCCCTGGTGACCCGGGGGGAGATGACCCCCCGACGCGTCTTTCAGGAGGGGAAAAATCACACAGACGCAATTCATCGTCGGCTCCCAGGAAAAGATGAGAAAGTATGGGAAGAAGGGGGGAAAACGAAAGCCCAGAACATGTAGAAACATATGGGACATCCCTGGATCAGTGTGTGTTTATTTGTGTGTCCCTGGGGCCCACTTTGAGCCGCTCTCTGTTGCTGCTTTCTCCTCCAGACCAGTCTCCGACGGCCACCGGCGATCCTCGGGGAGGTGCCCCCCCGACCCGTCTCTCAGGAAGGGGAAACACAAACAGACAGCGTTTTCTTATTCGGCGTTTCGACATAGAGCGAAGAGGGGGGGAGGGCTGGGGTCTGGCTCTGGACCTCTACTTGGTGCGACTGTTTGCGACAGTGCGTCTTATGCTATGGGGGGAGACTCCACCTGCTCGAAACAGGCGCCAAATACAGCCAAGATCTGTTTTAGGGGGGGAGGGGGGGGAGGGGGGGGGTGCGAGGGCCCGCGCCGATCGGCAAAACAATGAATCAAAAAACGATCAATCAATCGACGACTCCCAAGAAAAGATGGGAAAGCATGGGAAGGGGGGGGGGGGAAGCAGAAAAAGTATGGGACATCCTTGGATGTGTGTGTGTGTGTTTGTTTGTGTGTCCCTGGGCCCCACATCTCTTCAACCGCTCTCTGGGGGCTTGCCTCCTCCTCCCGAGCCATCTCCGACGGCCACCCGGCGACACAGGTGAGGTGCGCCCCGGCTGGCGTCGGCCTTCGATGGCATGCGGCTCACAAGTAACACCGCTGCGCTACACTCAGGAGGGGGAACAGAAACTTTTTTGATCCGCGGGTCGAGAGCGAGCCTCTTTCGATAAAAGCTAAAGGGGGAACATAAACACATACAGGTAAATCGGGCCTGTCCCTCTACACCCCTCTACAGGGGGAATGTTCAAAAACAGTCTGAAAATAGTCTGGGGACGATTTTTGTCCAAACATTCCTGTGATGTTGGGTCCTCGTTTTGAAGAGACGGTCCCCGCTTTCTCCTCTCGTGCCCCCCCCCCTCCTCCCTACCGTCCGCATGCGCCCCGCACACACAGTACAGCGCTTCGTGGCCCCATAGGGAGCCCCGCCGAAGGTCCCAGCGTTACCGTCCGCATGCGTCCCGCACAGCCAGTACAGCGTTCCGTGGCCCCATAGGGAGCTCCACCGAAGGTCCCAGTGCTACCGTCCGCATGCGTCCCGCACACCCGGTACAGCGTTTCGTGGGCCTCCTCCCCCTCCTCCCTGCGTTTCACCCACCTCGTACAGCGTGTCGTGGCCCCAAAGGGAGCCCCACCGAAGGTCCCAGTGCTACCGTCCGCATGCGTCCCGCACACCCAGCACAGCGCTTCGTGGCCCCATTGCCCCACCGAAGGTCCCAGTGCTACCGTCCGCATGCGTCCCGCACGCCCAGTACAGCGTTCCGTGGCCCCATAGGGAGCTCCACCGAAGGTCCCAGTGTTACCGTCCGCATGCGTCCCGCATACCCAGTACAGCGTTTCGTGGGCCTCCTCCCCCTCCTCCCTGCGTTTCACCCACCCAGTACAGCGTTTCGTGGCCCCATAGGGAGCCCCACCGAAGGTCCCAGTGCTACCGTCCGCATGCGTCCCGCACACCCAGTACAGCGTTTCGTGGCCCCATAGGGAGCCCCACCGAAGGTCCCAGCGCTACCGTCCGCATGCGTCCCGCACACCCAGTACAGCTTTGGAATGTCTGGGGGGTCAGGTCTGTAGGAGAGCCCGCAGGGGCGTCGGCAGGGCCGTCTTAGTCGCTCGTTGCCGTGGCTCTTGGTTCGCACATTTTCGCGTCAACGTGCTCTTGGTGCGCGAAATGTCTGGTCCAGATTTCCGTTGCGCCGAGGGCCCAGCATGGTTTCCATCTAGAACTTCAAATTCTGAGGTCGTCTCCCAGTGTTTCATTGCAAACGGCAGCCTAACACGTCTGGGCAAAAGGCCGAAATCGATGTGTAAACTAGCTTAGAGGACACGCGAAAAGCAAAAACGCCGCATCTAATGATATGGCGCACTTAAACGGATCTGCGCTAACACACTGGCCATTGGGCAAACCAGCGCCCGTCGAGCACAGCCGCGTTTACGACCAGACAAGGCAGCCAACAACAGGCCCGCGTTTCCGCGAAACGCTGTCGGGCGCCAGCGGTGCAAACCCCGCGGCCGTAGCGCGCAAACTGAGAAGACAGCCTGACGTCGATGTCTCTGCGCAAAGCGGCCGAATCCTGCCGCGCGCGCGGCGGCGCAGAGGCTGCCCCCGTTGCATTTCTCCACGCGCAACGGCCCAACGCCTGCGTTTCCCGCGCTCCGCGCCTCCGCGCCCCGGCGCCCCGGACGAAACGCTGTACTGTACAGCGTTTCGTGGGCCTCCTCCCCCTCCTCCCTGCGTTTCACCCAGCCAGTACAGCGTTTCGTGCCACCGTCCGTATGCGTCTGGGGATTGTAATTTGGCATTTTCACTCGCGCAGTGCAGCGTTTCGTGGCCCCATAGGGGCTCCACCGAAGCCCTCAGTGGGACCGTCCGCATGCGTCCCGGTAACCCAATTTGGCGTTTTCACTCACTCAGTAGAGCGCTTCGTGGCCCCATAGGGAGCTCCACCGAAGCCCTCAGTGGGACCGTCCGCATGCGTCCCCGAAACCCAATTCGACACACCACCCACACAGTACAGCGTTCCCCCCCGCCCAGTGCAGCGCTTCGTGGCCCCATAGGGAGCTTCACCGAAGCGGATATTCACAATTATGGTACCCACAACTGCATATGGTTGGGACCTTCGCCAGGACAATTTTTACCATGTTTGAGCATTTGGGGGGGATTTTGGGGCGTATTTATAATTTGTCGTCCAAAATCCCCCTGTAGGGGGACAGGCCCGACCTAAACATACAGAGACAATCCATCGTGAATCCCCAGGAACATTGGGGCAGCTATGGGAAGTGTGGGGGGGGAAAGGCGACATCCCAGAAACGATGAGAAAATATGGGGGGTCCTAGGATTTCGTCGATTCCCAGGGGAATATTGGAAAATATAGGGGGGCAGACGAACACCCAGAAAAGATAGAGAAGAATATGGGGGGATCTTGGGATTCGTGTCTATTTGTGTGTGTTTGCGTGTGTCCCAGCAATGTCGCTGCGCTGCGCACCTGCCAGCCTTCCTCTCATCCTGATGCCCTGGGACGGCCACCGGACTCCGAAGACGACGAGCCGTCCCCGGCGACACCCTTTCGAGTCGCCAAGGGTCTCTGGGTTTTGGAGGGGGGGTTAAGTCGGGCATGTCCCTCTACAGCAGGAGTATCCAAAAAACGTCAAAAATAGTCGGGGGACGAATCTTTGACCATTTTTGAACATGCTCGGATGCTTTTTGGCTATTTCTTAGTTTTCCCCCAAAATTAGCCTGTAGGAGGAGATGCCCGACCTAAAGGTGGGAGGCGCCGGCATCGCCGACGTCGCCGATGCACCGCCGACGTCGACGATGCATCGCCGATGCATCGCCGGTGTGTCAGCGATGCGGCGCGATCCTCCGACCCCATCTAATCCGACCCCATCCAGGACTGGCGGCGAGTTATGGGGGGAGGTGAGAAGGGGCGGGCCTTCTCAGAAGGCTCGGAAGTACCTCGGCCTTCTGAGAAGTTTTCGAAACCTTCCCCGCAGACGCAGACAACTTCTCACAGAAGGCGCCAGGGCTTGAGAAGTCCCGCCGCCTTCTGAGAAGGCCTTCTCCCTTCCACCCCTCCCTCCCCCTCCTCCTCCTCCTCCTCCTCCACCTCCTCCTCCTCCTCCTCCTCCTCCTCCACCTCCTTCTCCTCGCTCGCCTCCAGATCTATAGGAGGCCTCTGTAGCGGTAGGAGGCGCCGGCACCCCGTGCAGGCTGCGTGTACAACACGCTGTCGGACCTCGTCCTCTTCAGCCTGGACGGGGACCCCGGGGTGACCAACGAGCCACCGGGCCGACGCCCGCGCTCCGCGGGCGCCACGGGAGCCGCGCCAGGTCGAGGAGGAGGAGGGAGGAGGAGGACGAGGATGATGATGAGGAGGAGGAGGAGGAGGAGGAGGAGGAGGAGACGAAGGGAGGAGGAGTTGAGGGAAGAGGAGGAGTGGGGGAAGGAATCGGAGGAGGAGTGAGGAGGAGGAGTGTGTTGAGATCTTTGGATGCTCCTTGGCTTTTTCTGGGGGGCCCCAGGGGCCACCTCTAGGTCCTGGTACTGTCTGCAAGACGTGTCGGGATGAGGCGCTGGCCCTGGGAGGGGGAGGGGTGGCTTCTGGGCTTTTGGTGGGGTTCACGGGATGTGCAAAACCACCTGCCGAAGGTCTGAGAATCCCCGCTTCCTTCGTCGACGAGAAGTCTTCCCTCCTTCCCTCTCTCCCTCCATCCTTTCCTCCCTGCTCTCTCTCTCTCTCTCTCTCTTTCTCTCTCTGTCTTTCTTCCCTCCCTCCTTCCTCATGCTTTCCTGCCCCCTCCCTCCCTCCCCTATATGTTTCTTATCATCCTTCTCCGTGCCTGCCTGCTCCCGCCCGCGTCCCTTGCTCATGCCCTCATCCTTACACGCCGGTCGTTTGAAATAGGTTGTTTTCTGGAATGTCAGATTCCAATATACTTCAAGCGCCTTCCTACCTCAAGAATCGTTATGTTTCTGCTGTGTAGTATGATTCACTGAGAGGGCCTGAACCCAATCTACTTTATCCGGCTTCCTACGTCATGTGTTTGGCCTATTTCTTCTGACCGACGGGTACCTCTTCTTCTTTCCCTTTCTCTCCTCCTTTGGTCGCTCTCTTTACCTATTCCTCCTTCTCCTGTCCCCCTACTGCTGCCGCTGCTCCTTCTTCAACCTGTTCCTCATCCATTTGGTCGTCGTCGTTGTTGTCTTTGCGTTGCTTCTTACCGTCCTTTTTGCCTCCCTCCCTCCGTCCTCCCTCCATACACCCATTCTCCCCCTTTCCCTTCTCTCTCCTTCCCCCCTCTCCGCCTCTCCTGCCTCCCCACTCCGCTCTCCTCGTCCTCGTCCTCCCCGTCCTTCCTCCTCCCCATCCCAACTCGCCCCATGAACGTCCTCCTCGTCTTCCTCGTCCTTCTACCATTAAATCGGGCGTGTCCCTCTACAGGAGGAACCCTCAAACATAGTCAAATAGTCAGGGGCCGATCTTTCGATTATGTTTTGACTATTTTTGTACTGTTTGACTACTTCTGATTTTTCTTCCAAAAATCCGCCTGTAAGAGGACCACCCGACTTAATCCTAACACTCCCCATCCGCCCACCGCCGAAAGGGCGGTTCAGGAGCTTTCTTGGGGACCTCTGCGGGGGGTGTCCAGCAACCGCCCAGGGCGGCGTGCGAGTTTACAGGCGAACAGGGAACAGCATGCATTTCGAGACTGCTCGCTCTAGCTTGATCGCGTGCCGCTCGAGTTGGCGCCCGAAGCCGTCGATGTCAGACGGGCAATTGGTTCGATCTGGGTGGACCCCGAGGCTGGCAGGCGGTCAGGGTCTGGCCGTGCGGAGCCATGCCCGGGCAGCGGGGAAGAGGAGTGAACCGGGAGCCTTGAGACGGGGGTGAATGCAGCCGGGGGTCAGCCAGAGCGCCAGATTCTGCAGGATCCTACAGAGCCAGGGGTGCATTGACCCGGGCCTGCGTGCAGGATCCTGTCAGGTCGTTCAGGATCCTGCAAAGCCCACCCGGGTCTGAATTCACTGGAGGCGTGGAGGAGAGGGGGAGGCGGGGGGGGGAATGCGGGAGGAGGGGAGGGGGGTCCGCTGCAGGAGTGTAAAGTTCAGGGGCCTGAGCAGTGCGCCGGATTCGCGGATGGGAGCCCCGAGGCGGTCAGCGCCCCTGGCGAGAACGCGTTTCTCGCACATATTGGGAAGAGTCTCAGGCGCGATTCCCTAAGAGCGAGAGCGCCTCCCTTGAGCGCGTTGATGAGATGTCTCGGGCGAGAGTACTGTGCGAGTGTATTTCAGGCCAGGGCTCGATGTTTCGGCGGCGAGGGCGCGGTTACGGAATGCGTTGTGAGGAGGCCTGGGTAGATCGTGCGAAAAGCTGATGCGTGAGCTGGCGCTGCTGTATTTGGCTGGGGGCCCGGAGGCATCGTCCAGCGCGCCGGGCCACCCTTGACAGTGGGTACGAGCGTCGAGGGGTGCACGTCAAACTAGAGAAAGCAACAGGTTGAGAGGTCCAGCAATGCAGTCAGACGTTTGCCTCATAGGGGCTCTGGTTCGGAAAGCGGAGCATATACATTACCAGTGGCGGGCTGTTTTTCAATCGCAGGTTTTTTCGAGGGTCGGGGACGACGTCGGGGTGGTGCCCGTTTTCCCGGGGGAACAGAGTTCGATTCCCTACTTGCGGGCTCCAGGCAGGCTGCTCGGGGCCTGCCTGGGGCCCCCTATAGGGGCCGCTTAGGGGGAGTCTGCCTCGTGGAACAGCACGGACTGGCAGCCCCCGTCCCCTTCCTCGAAGAGCACGGGGAGGAGGGAGAGGAGGAGGGATTGGGGGGTCACCAGATTGCACCCTTGGCCCCCTAGTTACAACAACAACGGCTCCCGCCTGATACTTCCCCAGAAGTTATTCCAAAATCGCGTTCTCGCGCTTGTCTCTTCCACAACTGATCCCGAATCGCGCTCTCGCGTGGGAGTTCCTCGCAAGTTATTTAAACGCCGCGCCTTCGAGGCTTAGGAATCGCGGTCTCGTTCTGGTTGTTATGACGATTCTCTTGGGATTCGCGCTATCGCTCCAAGCTTCGCTCGAAGCTTCCTCGCGATTCGGACAGCAGTCACGCTTCAGCATCCCGCATGTTCGACCAGGCCGTTTGGGCCCACCTTCGGACCCGCCCGTTAGGGTCTACCCACCCGATGGGCCCGTCTTAGCCCCTAGCCCCCCTCCTGCTAATCTGTTCCCAGCTCCCCTCCTGCTCCGTGTTTTGCTGATCCTAGCCCCCCTTCTGCTTCGTATTTGTTGCAGCCCCTCCGCGTGGCAGGTAAGGAAAGTTTGCCCCCAGGATCGAAGACGAAGAGGTCGGGTATCGAGGGCATGGTATATACGTTTTGAATGGTACCCGAGCAGGTAAGAGCGAACAGTCTGGAAATGATTGTTGTCGTCGTTTTTGTAGTTGTAGTTGTAGTCACATTGTAGTCGTGATTGTTAAACTCTCACTACTGAACAAATATTGTTGATCCCCCCCTCCGGTGCACACTGTGCTCCTTCAATGAAAGTGCCCTTGCCTGGGGTTCGCATCCTGTTTTCTATCTGGGAAAATCTTGGGTCTCAGAATCGTATATTTGTCCATCAGCAGCGGCTCCCGTCTGATATGTCCTCACAGTTTATTCCGAAGTCGCGCTCTCCCGCGGGACTTCCTCACAATGTATGCAGGAATCGCGCTCTCGCGTGGGTTGTCCTCGCCATTTGTTCAGACGCCGCGCCCCCGATATCCAGGAGTCATACTCTCGCTTTGGCCTTTCTCATGATTTTCTTGGGAATCGCGCTATTGCTCGAGCTCTCCTCGCGATTCATGCAGCATTCACGCTTCAGCAACACGCCTTCTCGAACTGGCCGCTGGGGCCCGCCTTCCCGACCGGCCTGTTCGGGTCTACCCGCCCGATGGGCCCGTTTGGTTCTGCCACGTGTTTTCTGCTCCATCCTTCTCCCTCCCCTTTCGATTCGTCCTCTTTCCTTTCGTTTTAGCGGGAGCACCCATTGCACGCGACAGGTAAAGAAGGCATATCCCCAGAGGGGGACGATCGAATACGAAAAGGGCAAGATTCCAGGGTTTGGGACACGTGGCGAATGGCACGCGAGCGGGTAAGAAGAACGAACAGTCTCAAGTTGATGTGTGTTGCTGTTGCTGCTGTTGGTGTTGTTGTTTGTGTTGTTGTTGATGATGTTGTTGTAGTTGTTGTTGTTGGTGGTGGTGGTGTTGTTGTTACTGTTGTTGTGGGTGGTGGTGTTGTCGTTGTTGTTGTTGCTGCTGTTGTTATTGTTGGTATTGTTAAGTTTGGAGATGGTGCTGGTATGGTTGTTGTTATAGTTGTTGTTGTTGTTGTTGTTGTTGTTGTTGTTGTTGTTGTTGTCGTCGTCGTTAGTGCTGTTGCTGTTGCTATTGCTCTTGTTGTGGTTGTGGTTGTTGGCTGTTGGCTGTTGGTTGTTGATTGTTGTTGTTGTTGGTTGGTTATTGGATGTTGGTCGTTGGTCGTTGTTTGTTGTTTGTTAATGTCTTCGTCCCACCAGCGACCGCCCGCCACCCACCCGCGACCCACCCGCGACCCGCCCGCGACCCACCCACGATCCAATCACGACCCACCCGTGATTCGCCCACGATCCAACCGCGACCCGCCCGCGACCCACCCGCGTATGTATCTTGAGATCGATTATGAGATCGATAATGAGATCGATAGTGGAAAAGGTAGTGAGGACGACTGTAAGGTCGATCGTGCGACCGAGAGCGAAATCGATTCAATGAGATCGATAGTCAGATCGATCGCGAGATCGCTCATGCGATCTCTAGTGAGATCGCTTGTGAGATTGATAATGAGATGGATTGTGAGGTCGATATTGAGATCGATCGAGAAGTCGGTAATGAGATCGATGGTGGGACCGATCGATAAGAAGATCGACCAGGAACCCGGGAACCCAGGAACCTCGCCGCCCTCCGAAATCGGCCCGGAACCGGGAACCGGGAACCGAACCCGGGAACCCAGCGTGCGACCAAAATCGGCGGGGCATTTTCGCCAAAATTTTTCAACATCCGCGAGGACCTTTTCAGTGCAAGCACTGATTGGGGAATCTGTGTACATATAGGTATATTTAAACATATTCCGTGGTTGCTATAATCTCTCTCTCTCTCTCTCTCTTTCCCGCTTTCTCTCTCTCTCTCTCTCGTCTTTCTTTGTTGTGTCGCTCTCTCTCTCTCTCTCTTTTTCCTCTCTCTCTCTCTCTCGCTTCTATTGTGTAGTTCGTTCTCGCTCTCCCTCTCTTTCTCTCTGTCTCTCCCTCTTCCGCTCTCAGGTCCCTCTCCCTTCCTCGCTCTGCTTTCACTTCGCCCGCAATGCCATCCACATGTGCCCCCCCTTCCCGTTCTTCCGTGAGCGGTCAGACGCTGGGAGGCCTCTCCATCGTGCCTACCTCCGCCTCACGGCGCTGGGGGCAGCGGATAATTTTCGATTCATTTGCATCGGGCAGACAACGACGAGCACAACCTCTACCACCACTTCCAGCACAACAAGCAGCAGCACCACCACCACAACGAGCACCAGCACCACTACGGTCACAACTAGCACCTCGACTACGAGCACCACATCATCCACATCGTGAGCGCCTCATGGGGCCTGCACCGTGTACTTCTGTGAGCTTGCTGCTGAGAAGGGGGGAGGCGGGGGAGGCTTAGGGGGGGGGGTCAGCGGGGGAGCAGAGGGAGCGCAGACGGAGGAGAGGGGAGGGGCAGGGGAGGGAAGAGGAGGGAAGAGGGAGGAGGAGGGGGAGGAGGAGGAGGAGGGACGGGAGGAGGAGGAGGAGAGAGGAGGAGGAGGAGGAGGAGGAGGAGGAGGAGGAGGAGAGGAGGGGAGAGGGGAGGAGGAGGAGGAGGAGGAGGAGGGGAGGAGGAGGAGGAGGAGGAGGAGGAGGAGGAGGAGGAGGAGGAGGAGGAGCAGGAGGAGGAGGAGGAGGAGGAGGAGGAGGAGGAGGAGGAAGCGGGAGGAGGACGAGGAGGAGGAGGAGGAGAGGAAGGGGGAGGCGGGGAGTGGGGGACGGATGGAGGGAAGAGGATGGAGGAAGAGGGAGGACGAGAGGAGGAAGGGAGGGGAGGGAGGTTTGAGCAGGAGGAGGAGGCAGGAGCAAGATCCTCCCTCTCTCCTCCTCCTCACCTCCTGCTCCTGCTCCTCCTCCTCCTCCTATGTCCTCCTGTCCTCCATCTCCTGCTCCTCGTCCTCCTCCTCCTGCTCCTCCTCCTGCTCCTCCTCCTCCTCTCCTCCTCCTCCTGCTCCTTCTCCTCCTCTCCTGCTCCTCCTCCTCCTCCTCCTGCTCTCCTCCTCCTACTCCTTCTCCTCCTCCTCCTCCTCCTCCTCCTCTCCTCTTGCTTCTCCTTCTCTCCTCCTCCTCCTCCTCCTCCTCCTCCTCCTGATCGCTGATCCAAGTCTGTGCGCCCCCGATCGGGGCAGTCGAGGAATTTTTTGAGCGTTCCCCAAAGGCGCAGACAAACATCGTCTCTCAGAAGGCGGGAGGGGGCTTCCGAGAAGTCCCCCCGCTTACCGAGAAGGCCTTCTCCCTCGGGCCCCCCCCCCCCTTCACGGCCTCGCCGCCGAAAGATGTCCCGGGGAGGTTAGGGAGAGGGGGAGGAGGAGCACGACAGGGGGAGGAGGAGGAGCAGGAGGAGGAGGGAGGAGGAGGGAAGGAGGGGGAGGAGGAGGAGGAGAGGAGGGGGAGGAGGAGGAGGAGGAGGAGGAGGAGGAGGAGGAGGAGGAGGAGGAGGAGGACGAGGAGGAGGAGGAAGAGAGGAGGAGGATGATGATGATGAGGAGGAGGAGGCGGAGGGGAAATGGGATGGGGGAGGAGGAGAGAGGAGGAGGAGGAGGAGGATGAGGAGGAGGAGACAGTCATCGTCTCTTACAGCCGTTAGCAGCAGCATGAGGAGGAGGAGGAGGAGGAGGAGGAGGAGGAGGAGGAGGAGGAGGAGGAGCAGGAGCAGGAGCAGGAGCAGGAGCAGGAGCAGGAGGAGGAATCACAATAAGCCACTGGCTGAGGAGTGGGGGGGCCGCCGCTCCCGCCCGCCGCCGCGCAGGGGCCTCGTCGTCGCCCCCTCGCCGCCGCGGCGGCCTCCCCCCAACGGCCAGGGCTCAGGCGTGCCGCCCGAGCCGCAGGATAGCGGCCGCGGAGGCCGCGACCAGCCACCGCCACGCCCAAGGAGGGCGCGTGGCACAGGAGGGAGCGAGAGCGGCGAGCACAGGCTCGCCTTCTCGTTCGCCTCGCAGCGGCGCAGGAGCTGCTGGCCAACCACCACTCAGCCCAGCAGCCCCAGCGCCAGCAGCAGCACCAGCGCAGGCGCAGCAGCAGCGAGATGGCTACGAAGGCGCAGCAGCAGCACCAGCGCAGGCGCAGCAGCAGCACCAGCGCCAGCAGAGACTGGAATGGAGACATCGGAGCCATCGGAGGGCGACCCTGGGTGTGGGCCCGCGATGACAGCCAGCACTACCAGCGCCAACACAACGGATTCCAGCAGTACAACTCACAGAGGCAGCAGCACAGCCAACAGCAGCAGCAGCAGCCCCGCTCCCACAAGCACCAACAACAGCCAGCCCAGTACCAGCACCAGCGAACACATCCACAGCACCAGCAGCGAAGCGACATCGCCCAGCACTGGAAGGACAGTGCGCCATGGAGGAGCACCTCAGCCAGAAGGAGGAGCAGCAGGCGCAGAAAAAAAGGACCAGCAGGGCACAGCTGCAGCCCACATCGGCAATTTCCAGTGCACCATGCAGAAGAAGGCAGTCCTGGACAGCATCACGCCTGTCCCCTTCGCCGTGGCGATGGAGCACGAGAGCTGGTCCGCACCGCCCGACGACGAAGAGATGCGTCACGTGTGGTACAAGACGAAGTGGCACAGGCTGGGCCGCCTCGCCGAGAACATTGCTGGCGCCAGGCTGGCGGGCTTGTGCACGTCGAGCCTCGAGCAGGAAGCAGCGACCACCGCCGCGAACATATCCTTCGCCCTGCCACACCAAGAGCGCATGCAGCAGCTCAGGGCCACGCTGGAAAAGCTGGAGGAGGAGCACACCGAGATGGAGAAGCGGCCCAACATGATGCTCGACCAAGAGGCCGCGGCCGCCAGAACCATCAAGGTCTACAAGACCCTGTTGAGGGAAACCAGAGACCAGATGGCCAAGGCAGCGGGTGTGAAGGAGGAATCGCCGGGGGAGGAGAGGTGCGAGGACCGCGCCAGAGGACGCGCGCCACACCCAGCTGCGAGGAGGAAGCGCGAAGCAGCCGCAGCACCAGATGCACCAGCCCCAGCACGGCAAGAGGCACGACGTAATGGTGACAAAGACGGAGAGGAGCAAAGCTCTGGAGTACACGATAGGATATCCGCAGGAAGAACCAGCGCCGACAACAGGGACGATATTAAAGACGCCATCAGTAAGCTAACCGAGAGGCTAGACTTGCAGCAGAGAAGAGAACAGCAGCAAAGAGACTTGCTGGAGCAGGCGGAGCTGAAGCACAAGAGCGAGATGAAGGCCTGCGAGCAGAACATGACGCAACATATGATACGTACGACAGAAGTCCAGCTGGCCAAGCAGCAGGAGTGGCACACATGGGAGGTCAACGCGCTCAAGAGGCACCACAACGCCAAGCTAGAGGAGGACAGAGCGAAAGCATATGAGGCACAGAGAGGCGGCCAGAGGACAGGAGGAGAGGGCCAAAGGGATGCTCGTGGACTTGCAAAGGCACCTCGAGTTGGAGGAGAAGATGTTACACGCAGCAGGTCGAGAAGGCCAGGCAGGAGGAGCAGGCGGTGCGACAGATGGCGGCTCAGGGGGCCCAGTGGCACAAGATGTCGCAGGGGCATAATGAAAAGGCGTTGCAGGAGATGGCGGAGGCGGAGTACCAGGAGCGATGCGCTCGGCGCAGCGCTCACAAGGAAGAGGAGTTGCAGATCGCTGTGGCTCACCAACATTTGGCCTGCGAGCACCAGGAAGAGGCCAACAAGCGCGAAGCGATGCGGGTCATCCTGAACCTGGGGCACTCGGCCATCCAGGCGAAGGCTCACGAGATGCAGTACGAGCAGGAAAAGTACTTCGAGCGCGTCGGGGAGCACCAGGAGGTGGAGGACAAAGCCAAAAGGATGGAGGAGGCGGCACTGCAGCGCCAAGCAGCAGCCACGAGCGAGCTCCAGGCATTACAACACCAGCAGAGGTTGGAGAGCCACGCGACTCAGCAGTACCACAGCACTCTGCAGCACGAGCGCCAGCAGGAAATACAGGCCGCGATGCGGCACCATGCCCGCATCCAGCACATGAACGACATACACAGGCAGCAGCAACTACAAGACCTCCAACGCGAGCATGATCAGCATACTGCAGGACTCCAGAATGCTCTACGGGACGCCTGGGGTGCAGGAGGACGGGTGGATGAGGAACTGCTAGTCGACATGACGGACGACCTCATGGTGGATACAGCCACGACTGAGCCTGACCAAGTCATGGCGGAGCAAGAGGACAAGTACCAGAGAGAGCAACTCGAGGCAGACGTACTCCGGCTCCTACCTGGTCAGTACGAGTCCCCACATCCCGAGCTACCGTCGTACCTCGGAGCTGGCCATGGTGGGATCAGGAGAGAAGTCACATACATCTTCGAGGCCAACGCCTGAAGAGTCGAGCACCTCGCTACTCGGCGATTTCATTTTTTTCAGGACTTGAGTTTCGCGACGAGGCCGCCTGCCGAAGAGCTCCCGACGCCGCCGCAGCCACCACAGCTGCGCCCGCCCCTCGAGGAGCACGCCAGCGTCGACCCATTCCGCCACCGGACCGACCTGGGGCTGGGTGAAGAAGAGAGGGTCACCGCCGTGGAGGCTAGGAAGCAGGGGCTGCTCGACATGAGGGCAAACAGTGACTGCATCCCGATCGGCGAATCCGACGACGCTGACCTGCAGGAGGAAGAACCGAAGATGGGTCAAGACCTGCGTCAGGAGAAGGAGGACGAAGCTCCGACGGACCGAGCCTCACTCTCACCAACAATAGCAGCCGACTTGCCCATGCCGACGGAGCAGCCCACGCCGAAGCCCAGCATTTTCCCACCCGTCACGCCCTTCACGCCAAACAAGAGCCCGCAACAGCAGCTACAGCCAGCCAAAACACCCATGACGACCCTGTTCATCGACCTCAGCCGCGACGAAGAGGCCTGTCCCAGCACTCCCCCACGCCTGCCGATAGAGGACATCACGCGCACCGTGCCACACGAGCCACGGCTGCCACCTCCGCGCTTTCACATGGGCACACCAGAGAGGACGAGCTCAGCACCACCTCACAGAGGCAATCTGAAGCAACCAAGAGAGCCCAGGAGACCAAGGAGCCAGCCTAAAAGGCCAGGATCCGCGACGCGGACGACGGCTTCGCGGACCCAAGTGACAGAGTGGCATCTTTCATCGAGAGCGGCGAGAGCGACCTCGACGGGGGTCGATGGTAAAAAAAAACTGAGAGGGAGCACGCAGGCTGGGGGGCAACTGGCCCAGACCTGCGCCCAGCCAACCACACCAGAAGACCACGGGGACAGGAGGCCCAGACTCAGAGACCCGCGCGGTGACGAGCCTACGCCCAGCCCC